TCATTCCCGAATTAACCGGCGAAGAGTGTGCTCCTCTTCGCAGCAATTCTGATAAGATTCGATACGGCTGGAGACAGAATTTATCTGAAAAGCCTTCGAATTATTCATAGAAGTTAATTTAAGACAGAGGTACTCTCAGTCTTAAATATTGTTGAGAGCAGCGAGTCTGAGCTTTTCAGTCCGCTGTGCGGCCGATTGTAGAAATTACAATCTGCATCGGCGTACAGTCGAGTTCGACGTACTCGCCTCTCGCAATTGAACGGTTTGAGTTCAGTGCGATCGAGTTAGGGGGCTTTTATCGAGACTAAGACCTTGAGTGTCTACTCTCTTTGCCTTTTGGCGGTAAAAGTTCCTGTTTGAGACGGCATCGTCCCAATTTAACTGGAGTTGATTTACGCCCAACTCCACAACGCGTTCCCGACTCCCGGTATCCGTCTTTAAATTGGCGTTTACCTATAGCATTTATAGGCTGTAGCTTTTTTAAGCAAGTCCGGAACGACGGTTTGGAACGACGTGCTCGTCGCAAACTCGTCCGCGTTCTTCAACGGGTTTCGAGGACAGGTGAATCGAGCCCAACGTTGAGACAATTTCCGAAAGGAAGCTCAACGTTTGAGCAGCATTGAGGCTGCAGTCGGTCATTTCCCTGAAGGAAAGGGACCGGCGTCGAGCGCGGCGATTTCTCGCTTCGCTACCGAATTTTGAATCGGTCAGCTCGATAAGAGAAATCGATCCTCTTATCGAACATAGGAGGTACGAGGGATCTCGCTCCATTCATTAATACAGTCCGCTAAAACACCTGCGAGCGGTAGCTACTCGCAGGTAATACGTCGATAACACGAGTACTCGTGTTTAATACGTATTTTCTGAATTACAGAGAATAAGCGGGATCAAGGGATCCGACGGCACCACCGCTGAGCGAGAGCCGGGTCGCCGTCCAGCTTTCAATTTTTCTCTTTTATTTTCTATTTTCTATATAATTTAAATTGTACGGGTGCTGGGTTTATTTCTAAATAAATTGGGTTCTTTTTTTTGGAAAACCTAGCGTACATTTATTAAAACAACCGTTTCTCCTCCGGACTCCCAGTTAGGGCCACCTATCCCTAACAACTTGGTATCGTATTGTACTCCCAAGAAGGATTTGAAAGCAAAGCCGCGTAGACGTACAAACTGCATCGTGATTATTAATTAAGCAAAAAGATGCCACGTTCCCATTTGCTTTCGATCGTAGCGAAACGAAATGCGACGAGCTTATTACAGTTAAAAACTAGAAACTGCATATCGACTTGGAAAAAATCACCCTTCATTTCTTTCTTCAGCATTTCTATCAATTTCAGTCCCTACCAGTTTTCTTTAGTTTAAGCATGATGAAGTGTTTAATAAAGAAAGAGTCCCTTTTTATTAATAGTCTTACGAACGAATCTCTCTTCCCCGAAAAACACATAAATTAAATGGTTTTAACAATGCGACCATAATAGCCTATTCATACGAGGGGGAGGAATGCCGAATTCGGTGTAAACAGTTTTAATATTAGAAACCTCATTCGTTTTCCTTTTACACCTACGATGCCCTTGGCCGTGTCCAATCAGCGGCTTCAAATGCATCGACCTTGCACATTTTTTGCTGATTCGGAATGCTATTCCTGACCTCCATCGAACCTGACCGTAGCCAGATAAAAAGAAACCGGGTAAAAAATGATCTGCTCAAGATGCAAACGCATTCAAAACAAACAGCAGGGGGAATCGGTATGCAAACGGTCACTGACTGATTTCCAGGAGGGTTCGACGACGGCAGGCACGCACAGGACAGCCAGGAGAACATTAGGCAATGACTGGGATTTCCCCTGGTATTGAAATTCTAAGCCACAGGTGCCTGCCCTCCGATCGTACTTCGACTCGTTCGAGTGTCGCTGCAAAATATACAGTAAAAACGTCGATTGTCTGGAAAAATTGGGAGACAATCTGGTTTCAGCATCCGGGTAATCGACATTTCGCTTTATTATACTCGTTCGAACGACAAAGGGAAAACTGGTTCAAATCGAAGGACAACTTCTACCGGAGATTTTTGCTCTCAGAAAATATATTTTGCTGTTTTAACGTTCAACGTCAGGAAGAAACTGGTTCGAAGCGAAGGACGACTTCGACTAAAGATTTTACGAGCCCAAATTAGCAATTTCAATCAAGCGACTCTATCCCAGAAATATTATTTCAAATGATATATTTAATTGGTCATTGACTGACCGTTATAAAAATTCCTTGCAGTTTGTTTACGAACTGCTGAACTGTCGTTCTTATTTCAGAAAACAACTAGACAGGTTTCTCTGGAAGTGTTTAATATCTTTTATAATTGATCAATAAAATCGTAGGATCATATATTAAGCAATGTTGATCCTTTCGACTCCATTAGGACATCCATGTATATACCAATAAATTTGTGTGATTATCTATAGAACAATACGTCGTACGACATATTGATGATAATTTTTATTTGTTATTTAGTATAGTTTTTAAAAGAGAACCTGAAGTGCACCTCTCTTAATGCTCGTATCTGTAGCAGCACTAAGCCCGTGAATACAGCGTTATTATAATTATTATTACTATTATTGAAACCCAAATAGAGGGGAATTTGTCAAGTGTCAAAGTCTCGACTGGTCATTAGAATGGTAACATTGTCGAAAGTCGCGTTATTACGTGGTATGTGGTAAAACACTTTCGTTCGTGTTTGGACGATTGCCAAGGTCCCTTGCTTCACCCGCGTGCCGCGCGTCGGCCGGTTGTATACGAGTCTGCCATGGGAATACGTGAACGAGATTCCTTAGCAGACCTCGACGATACACGTACGAGCGTTACGTATATGCGGCTCCTACGGACAATGGGACGTGTAACAACCCCGCGTGCAACATCCACCGGGGCACCGGCTCACCAACACACGGATAGACGAGGGGGACACACGCGCGGTGCGTGTGTCCTCGCGCATTGATCAATCGGCGAATGACGCGCATAGAACGATCTTCTCGCCAGGTATATAAAGGTATCCACCAAAAAGCAGAAGCATTCACTCCCAGTTCAAACCCACGAGCTGATCTCCAAAGATCCAACTAACGATCAACCATGAAGTTCTTCGCAGTAAGTAAACTTTTACACGTCACTTAATTAGTCTGCAATTTTACTGAATAATTCATTTTACCACGGATACACGAAACTGTGACTGTATCGTAAAATGATCATTTCTAATGTCCATTGCTTCAGTCAAATTAGACTCGTGCTTTGCACCTATGAAAATTCAATTACTATCTTAAACTCCTAACATAATTGACACTTTTACTTTTGCACTGAACAATTCCTCTATGAAAATTCAATTACTATCTTAAACTACTTTTGCATTGAACAATTGCTCCATGTTCTAAGTGACAATTAATATGAATTTACATAATTTTATTTATTTCCAGGCTGTCGTCCTCCTGGCTCTCTTCGCTGTAGCGTTCGCTGCAGAGAAACCCGCGGAACCCCAAAAGGTCGAGCAGGCGTCGAGTGCAGAGGCTGAGGACGCGCCAAGGGACAAAAGAGGATTGCTCCTGACTTACTCCGCACCGGTCGCACCAGTTGCACCAGTGGCATACACTTCATACGCAGCAGCACCGATCGCTTACAGTTCCAGTTACAGTCTGCCCTACGCGGCGTACCGCTCGTACCCTTACCCCTACTACAGCTACTATGGTTAATTGACTGTCATTCGAAGGATTAAGACGAGGAACCGATCATGGCAATCTCAAGGATCTTCAAATTTAGGATAGTTTAGTTTTAAGTAACAGAACCTCAACGAACGTCTGGACAATTTATAGAACCTCGAAACTCTGTTCACAAATCTTTGTAAATTTACTATCATGTGAAATACAAAAAATACTTAAGATCAAATTTGTCTTCCTTTCGTTTGCAAAATAATTTCATAAACATGCGGCGCAGTTCGCGGGGGATCGACGATTCGAATTCCAGCTGCAGTCGACGAAGACGATCTTATTCCACATGCATCTGCAGTTTCATCTCTGATATGAGAACGCATGTTAAACGGCATTGTTGCGCGGGGCAGGACTTCCCGTCGTATGCACGCGTGTATTTAATAAAACCGCGAATAGAAGCGGGTGACGCGATCGACCGCGGTTTGGCATCGTTTCGGTCAGCGCGAGGTCATTAGAATAGAAGCTATGCGCAATTATTGTCTCCTGCCATTAGTTTCAAACATGAATAAAAAATGCGTCGCGGTGCCGACCGCGGCGATACGATCGACGTTGTGAATTTTTCGAAATGAATCATACCTCGCCTATGAATCACGGGGTTATAATAAGCGAATGATAACACCGGACCGTATTATTCAATCGAATTAACTGATCGCGATTCACCGGCGAGCGTTTGTAATAATTCAAGGAATTCGAGCACGCTTCGGTCTGCGCGTAATCGGGAATTACACAATAGGAATATATCGTTTATTCCGTAGTTACTCGGACTTGATGACTTTGAGCACTTTCACTGAGGCCCGGAACACGTGAACGTGACGAGAATCAGACGAGCGTTCCCCATAACTACGGAATGTCATTTAGCCAGGGCGAATCCACTGCTTCGCGAAAAGTAATTTACGCACGGAAGTACAACGATTGTTCGTTTTATATCGAACATCTCGTAGGAAACCATGCGTCTCTCCCACGTGTGAATCGTCATTAACGCGGCTCCCGTAAAACTGGCTTATTACCATTTTCCGTAAAATCTGTTTCGCAGTTGGTTCGCCAAACGGTACGTGCCCGGCGTGAGAAATGCCGGGCCGATAATGTATTTAAGAAGATACTCTACATCGATATGTGTAACATCAATCCGTAACAGCGTTGCCTAAGTGTGATCGATGAAAGCCGGTAAGAAAGTCTATTGTAATTCGTGGATGGTCGCGACCCGACTGTATTTATACATGTGCAGGTATGGCCGTGGTCTTAGTCGGCGTGGGCCAGTCCAACCTTGAACAAATTAGCTGTTTTTTCCAGTGCTGGTGCTACGATTACATGTTGTAGGCTAGTGCCAAGTATAATCGGATTACGAACATGAAGTTCCTCTTGGTAAGTACGAATCGAGAGACAAGTGCAGTTTCATACTACGAAGTCACTACAGGTAGAAATCGGTTGTTGCAGATAATGTGTTTTCTGGTTGCGAGCTTATTGTGTGTCAAATCCGAGACAAAGGAGGACGACAAACCGGAGATCACGAAGCTGGAATTAGTGGATCTCGGCGAAGGTGAGAGTGACGATGCTGAAGAGACAGAAGTGCATAGAAAGAGGGACTCGGGGTATTCGTATAAGAGACCCGGTCCGAGCGGCAGAGTCCGGTTCCAAGTGCAGTCCGGTACCAGAGGGCGTATCGTTAATAGACACCCCGCGCAAATAAACCGACCCGTTACCAAATACGGACCGCCTGGTTATCAGAACCCAATGAGACCTGCATCGCACGGTCAACAGCATCGGGATAAATTGCAATTTCACGGTCATATCGGCCAACAGCATTCGAACAACTTCGATGGCCGGCCCGGCGGACTGGTGCAGCAGGAAGTTCCGAGTCCAATCAGAGAAGTCGACTTCGCCGAGCCGAATCCAATATCTACTCAAAACAACGAGCCATTCGCGATCCACTCGGCGAATTATTTACCACCGGAGAATCAGAAGTTGCCGGAGCATTCCACGGTGCAGAGTTTTTCACCGACTCCGGTGAGCGTTAATCGAGGCCAGGCGAGTCTCCATAGCCAGAACTTGGTACAGTCGCAGCAGGGACACATATCGGACGCGGCCCTGTTCCTTGCGCAGAACGCGCAAGCCATACAGCAGCTGTACGGCGCGCCGGCGAACGAGCAAGACTTCGCGCCGCAGACCGACCAATTCTTGGGGCACAATAATCAAGTTCCGAATGGACAGTTCCAAAACCTCGAGAGCAGCTCGCAGAGCCCACAGAGCTTCTCAGCCCCATTGCCGTCGTACGCGTCGGGAACCCTGAGCGCCCACGAGACCCTGGAGCAGATACAGTCTCTCGAGAAGGACCGGTTGATCGTGCAGTTGCAGCGAGCGCTGGCTAGTCAGACCCAAAACGCAGACGTGGCCGGTAGGTACGCTCAAAATCAACCGAGCTTCGTCCAAAGTCAAGATCTTCTGGCTTCCCTCGGACAGCGAATGAAGATTCACGGTTTAAATACGCAACAGAGTAGCGTGAACCTCGGGAACACTGCTTTCAATCAATCACCTTTTTTGCTAGGGACGACGGTCGGCCCGGGGTTCCCGCTTAGCTACGGGCTGTCCACGACTACCCAGACTCCGACGACAACAACGACGACGACGACGACCATGCAGCCCCCGGCTAAAAGCGACGGAACCGTACAAGTCGGTTCGGCCGTGCCCGCGCCGCCCCTATCTACCTCGGGAGTTCCCGTTTATGGCGGATTCGTGCCTACCCTGATCGCTGGTACGAACTTCGTCCCGACCTACGGCCCTACTTTCTTCGCGCCCGGTGCTATTTCACCCGCGGGATCCTCGCCCACGCATTTCGGACTACCAATCCCTACGATCCCGAGCCAGAAACCTATCTCCGGGACGCCTCCGTTGTCCACGACACCGTCGACTCCCCCGACGAATCAGCCCGCCGTTCCTCAATCTCCGGTTCCTGTGCAGCCAGTGGCTCCTGTTCGACCAGTGGCACCTCTGCACCCGGTCGCTCCTGTTCAACCAGTGACACCTCTGCACCCGGTCGCTCCTATTCAACCTGCGTCGCATCCGACGTATGGACTGCAGACACCAGTGATAAATCCTGTTATTTACAAACCTATTAAGCCAGTCTACCCGTTCTACTATTACCCGAACGTCGCGTACCAAGTGCACAAGTCGGCGACGTTCCCGACTCATCCGTGGAGCTACGCGCCCACCTATGCCCAAGCGAAGCCGACCCAAATATGGAAATGACGTGCACGGCGAATGAACATTGTTCGCTTGAACTCGCTTGCTCGTGCGTCGAGACTGACTGTTCACCCACGAAAAAGAGAACCCGAGAGATCAGAGAAGAAAGTGGCCGCGGTATATCGAGCCGGGATAACACGGTTTGAAGGATAACGAGACACGCTCTCGCCGCTGCGGTTCTTCGCCTAATGTAAACCACCGTGTCGCGTGCACGTACTTATATTTTGCGAGGTTTTCATTTGTTCTACTTTATACAGATTTTATATTTTTTTAAATAAGAGAGTTGTTCTAATGGTAAAAGGTGTTCGCATCGTTTCGTGCGAATAATTTGGGTTTTCGATTTCACAAATGGGTGATTGATCATTTTTTATTTATTAAGAGTTTAGTTTTAGATATTGATTTGCCTACTTCGTTAACTGCGCACTGTACAAGTTTTATTTATTTGGAATAAATATTTTTTCTACGCTCGAATTTAATTTCTATCAACCGCAACCGTAGAAACTAGCGTCGACCGGTCTGCCATTGAACTTGGTACGAGTGCGGGCGCTAGAAAGAATTCATGATTCGCAGACCAGCGGCCAAAGAAAGTAAGTACACCTTAGAAAACCGACTGTCTCCGTTTCCGGCCCCGTAAACCTACACCAAGGAACTCTCACCGAAGGCTTAATAGGTGACGAACGATCGATCGTGACCTCGATAATCTTAATCACGGCCAAGCTATTATAAATCGAATTACATTTCTCCGTTGCGCAAATGCAGTCGTACAATTTTATAATTTTATCACTGACCGAGTTACGATTATACCGCTAAACGCGCTAGATTCTCGTAGAACAGGTGTAATCGAGCTTTATTTCCTTTGGACAAAGAAAGGGTCTAACGGTTACAAAGGAACGGGTCAGGTAGACGAGCTCCACGATTCACACAGGCGACTCGGTGTCGACTCACTTTCCGTGACTGACCTCTTCTATTTCGTTTAGTTCACTTATCGTTTCCCTTCGAACTCGTTCAGCAGGGATTCCTTCCGGAAAGAACCGTTTACATGTTGGGCAATCTCGAAACTGGTTGAACGCAAAATAAACGAGTCCGATATTTTATAATCATAATAGACTGCGGATTTTTATGCAAAATAAAATATTTCTAAAAGAGCTTTTGAAGTAAATCAGTACGAAGTAACATCGTATAAAGATTCTGAAAGTACGAAGCATAATTTAAAAGGAACGACAGTGCTTCCTTCTTGAGTGAAAGTAAAACGAACTGAATCAGCGTTTTCAATTTTAAGAACCGCGTATTGATGGGCGTCGACGTTTTATGTTATTTTTTTGTGCTAACGTATCTGAAACTTCGCTGTCAACCGGGCTAATTACGCAGCGCGAAGAAAAGATCGCAAACGGCTACGTCTAAATCATCGCGATGTTTTTCTGACTGCCCCGCATTTCACTTTCCATCGTCCAAACTACTTTCAGCCGCTTCCGAGGCTGAACGTCGCGCGTCTGTGTCATGTACCGCACCTTCACCGGCCCCTTTCATATCGTGGCACATCGCGACAAAAGCCGGAAAAATACGGTTCCCGATGTCCCGAGCCACCAGCTGCGCAGCAATAAACAGATACTTGCGAAACACGTCGACGAGCTCGAAACGCGCTCGAGTAACAAACGGGAATGCGACTCTAACAAATAACCCTTCCCCGAGTAGATAAAACGTGTTCGTTCCATTAGGCGAGCAGAATTTCTCCCAAAACAAGACGAATTTCATCATCGTCAGATATCAATTTTTCGACGAAGAAGTTTCACAGCCTGAGTTAATTAATCAAACCGTGAAACATCCCGGAACAATTTCCAGGAGGATTGGAGAATGCAAGCTGAAATTCCGTGCGATGTATCACGTTTTGCATCTGTTTGATTGCCTGATACAATTCCGTTTTTAATTAGCTTTGCATCTACCGCCGTTATCTTCCGCGAGGGAGTCGTTTCCTTCCTTCCTTCCTTCCTTCCTTCCTTTCGCCTCCGCTCATTGACTTCGCCGATGGAAAATGTCTCCGTGCGTCAGGCACAATGCACGATAAATATTGATTTGGGCACTTTTACCACGCGTGTCCCACGATAGATCGGACAGCGATCTATCTGAAACACGTTCTTGGGACGCGGCGACGGTGGTGGTGCACTAGCACCAGCGCGGGGAGATTCACCTTCACCTAGACCTTTCTTTCGCCGTGCAAGAGGGGATTTGTGTATAAAAGGTCTCTTCTGGTTAGCAATGGCACCAGAAACCACAATTTCACTTACATACAAGGTGTTGTCACTTGGACAGGAGAAGTAGCGCACCGGACAGTCTCGATTTAGAATCAACATGAGATCACTGGTAAGTGAATCGAACTTATTTTAATACTGCAATATTATATCTCAGATTTGCAATGATAAACTCTCATGCCCGATTGTTTATTCCTGCATAAATTCTATCAGTGTTATAGTTCGTAGATCCTCACGCGAATTTAATTATTCACAGATGATACTGGCTTTAGTAGCCGTGGCTACTTCGACCGTCTCCTGTAGGGAAATAAAAAGAGAGAGACATTATGCATCGCTGAGAACACCGCCGAAGGGCAAACGAGGAATCGATTATTCCAGTGGATCTTCGTACAATTCCCCGATCATAAGTACAGGATCCCATGGATACTCTGTGGGTCAAAGTTTAGGGAGCAGCTCCTTGGGACACGGTCAGCTGGGATACTCCATGGGGTCCGGTGGGCTTGGTTCGATTTCCGGATTGGGCCACGGTCTGAGCCTCCAAGGACTCTCGCTGGGACACCTAGGGCAGTCTTCGTACTCGAATTTGGGTGGCAGTAGTGGAAGCGTCGGTCTATTCAGCCCATTGATGAAGACCGGCCCCGTTACCTTTGGACACCAGGCAAGCAGTTCCGCGCCTTCTTACGCCACAGGAGTTCAAGGATTATCGGCGTACAGCGGTGGATCGTCAAACGCCATTAGCTATCCGATGTTAAGTCATGGCTCGTACAGTTTACCCGCGTCTATAAGTTCGTTAGGTTCATCTGGACACGGTATCCCTATCCAATCCATATCACCGAGCTCATCCTATCATTCCGTGAGCGGAGGTTTGGTGATTGACGGGGGAAAAGGTTCATCGAGTTACAGTTTCCCGGCTTCCTCGTCGCACGGAGGTTCCAGTAGTTACTCCCTGCCAGTATCTTCGGGATCCCATAGTCTGTCAGGATCCTCCAGTTACTCCTTACCTTCGGTGTCTTCTGGGTCCAACCACGTGCTCTCCGCAGGATCTTCCGATAGTTCCAGTTACTCCCTTCCTTCTTCTTCCACGACTTACATCTCTGGGGCATCGAATTCTGGATCCTATTCCAATTATGTACCTTCCTCTGACTCGTCGTACTCCTCGTCTGGAAGCTCCAGTTACTCGAGCCCCTCTTCTAGTTATTCCAGTCCTTCTTCCAGTTATGCCAGCCCTTCCACGAGTTACTCCAGTCCCAGCGTCTCTTATTCCAGTCCGACCGTCACTTACTCTGCTCCCAGTTCCAGCTATTCTGGATCCTCGAATAGTTACTCTTCGAGTTACTCCCCTTCCACCTCGTACAGCTCCCCTACAGAGTCGCAGGGTTCCTATTCAAACCTGAGTCCCAGATACACGTACTCCGTTTCAAAGAGCTACGAGAGCCCGAATTCGGGGAACAGCAGATACGACACGATTTCGTACTCCAGCCCCAGCGGGAAATATTGAATTCCTTCGAAAGCTCGTCGCGATCTGACGAGAGTCTTAGCTGTTAATTGACAAGCAACGAGCGCAGCCCACTTTGTTTAGCGAATAAGTCGATCGTACGAGCGATGATTTTAGGACGTCGCCCTAATTTATATTATTCTTAGGATAATTATTATTTTATTTAAACTGCGCTCCGTTGCGTATTTATATTCCTGTAATTTGCTTCGAGCATGTGCGCATTCCGTAGCGTCGATATTGTGATGTCGTTTGTTTCGTAGTTTTGTAATAATAAAGCAATTCCTTTTGTAAAAGCCTGAACATCTCTCAATAAGCGTAAGGATCTTAGATTTATTCATGAGCTTTCACTATGCCACGATGCAAAATAATTTAAAGTAGCCGTGCTTTATTTTTTTTCTTTTTATTCGATGTCTGTGGCAATTGGCCTTTTTTTTATCTCACCGTGAAAGTTATTGACAGCACGAGAGATAAGAACGGTAGCAGCGCTTAATAAAAGTGCGAAAGGAAGATCACTTTTACTCGAAGGCTGGCGGATTCCTTTCTAAAGTTTTGTTCTGTTTGGGAAAGTGACGAGGCTTTGCAGGCCGTTCGCGGACCGGTTCGGCATGATTCATCAGGGAGATTGTTTTATTTTTTTCTCCGCTGCCTTCATTCTTACATCGCTCGAAGGCTTTATACTAACATAATTCTTCCGTTTGAACGACGACTTTTCTGTTTTGCTTGATTAAAAGTATCTTTTAATTAGAAACTCTCACGGTGAAATAATTTGTCGGTTTCTCTTTTCATTAATAACGACGGTATGCAGCGTAAAGTTCAGATTAAAAGTTTCGGTTTAAATTACTCGGCAAGTCTCTTCTATTTTTCTTTTTACAGCTCCCGGGGAAAAGGGAGCAGAGGGTCTGCGCTAAAGAGTAGGCTAATACGATGCTCTTGAAACGAGGACGTGCATCGAAGTTTTAAACTAACCGAGAAGCTGTATCAGGGTAAGTGAAGACTGGCGAGGCTTCAGATCCCCGTTTAATCATCGACCCTTGTCCACCGGACTGCGCAAATATTTACAATTACTCGTCGAAATAAATCAAGAAATATTTTATTACACCAGAACGTCGTTTGATCAGAAGAGAAAGATCGTCAGGAANATTTATATAATAAATTTCATTTAGTTTCCTGCAATTTCGAAAATAAAGATCGACCACCCACGCGAACGAGAGCGCGAGCGCATCGGATGCAGCGCGTCCTGGGCGGCGACCCACTTTTCAACGATCGCACGTGCGCGTGCATGCATCTTGAGCGACGTTGAAACAAAGTCGACGAAGTAGCCGGGGGAGGAACGGGGGGAGGGGTCTGGTCGATCCTCCGTTGCTGGCGACCGGTAGGTCGGGTTCGTTCACGAAAAAACGCACTACGCATTTCACTATTTTCCGACTGGTTCGACGAGCGACATACATAGCTTAAACGCGCTTCACTCTCACGCCCGTGACGTGGTCCGAGCGAAAACAGGGAAAACTTCAGCTCTTACTCTTGGCCGTGCCGTTCTCTTTTAACGATCGCAATCGATATCACCGTTCGAGCTGCTCACAAAAGCTCGACAGAGTTTATAATCAATTATTACAATAAATGTAGGCAATGGAACAGTGTTGGATGTAACACATTGATTTCCTCGCGGAAGAGAATCAAAGGGGTTGTGTCACCGGGTTTCGGTCGGGTCAGCAAAAGGTCAGAAGCCTCGAGGCAGTTTTACTCGAAACGGAGGAACAGACGCATGTACCATCGTTGTATTAGTAATTTATTCAGTAATTTCATTCATTTATTATTCATAATTCAGGCAATAAAAAACGTTTGGGTCTAATTTTGCAAATCAGCTCTCTGAATTGAATCAGGCGATTCTGGTCGTTTTCAGTTCCGCGTTTTTTCTTTTAATAAAATTATCAATTTGATTTACTACAATATAATATGGTTCCGGTCAGTTAAACCGATAAATGGACATTTCCTGCCATCCACTTCCCTTGGCTCACATTAGAAAGGGCACTTTCTCGTGTCCAGCATCAAAACCAACGACTAGAATTCCTATGCAAACGGGATACTAAAAGTTTCCATTCGTGTTTCACTCCCAAAATTGCATCTTCTATTTATTAATGTAATCGAAGGCGTGGTGGTTCGCAACGGATCGATATAGCGAGCTGCTGTCGCGTCGCCGGTGAAAGTACGGCAAATGGAATGGATGGACGTCAGCTTGGAAAGGCGGCGCGCGACCGGAACTGAAAAAAATCGTCTCGCGGGCATCGCGAACCGTTTTACTTCCTCGTCGCTCCGGACGAATCGCCGCCGCTTTTTCTCCCCCGGTACGAGACGGGTATTCGGGGCGATCGCGTGCCGAACGAGACGCGCACGATAGCCAATTTATCCCGAAGCTCGTACGAGAGAGCTTTCACGCTCGGTCGTCTTTATTTCTTCCTCGATATGAGACCGGACAGCGACAGCCCGGATCGCTCCCACTCGTTCGACCAGTTTAAACCGTAGCTTGGCCGGTGTCGAGATCGAGAGGCATTTCGCTATGTAGACTAGGCTAGACGGTTTCACTGAACCGGGCTGGCCGGTACGCTGTACGACTATATAAGAGCAACGCCGATGTTAAACTAGTTCTCGCGATTTTTCAGCCGGCCGGGTATAAAGGAGAAATTCAATGTCGACCGATGCATCATTAACCATCGGCGTGTCGGTCAGATCTGTTCGATCGCCACGATACATCGCCGCTGATCAGGAGTGAACCGTCGAATGAGATAGACGCGGAGAAACGAACGCACCGTAATTATCGACAGGGGAGAGTGACGGCTGATTGATATGGACCTGTTGGTTCGTATTCCTGTTCTCTTATTCTTCATACAAAATCTGATAAACTGACAGCACCGGCTATTGTCCAAGTAAATTGTTAAAAATTGCAGCTACTGTTCCTAGCGCCGTCGGTGATCCTCGTCCAGGGTTACGAGAAGAGCAACGATCCGAACGACGAGCCTTTTCTACCGATATACCCAATTTATCCGTACAGTCCTAAATTGATTAAGAGGGGAATCGAGAGCGCCCCGCAGTTGTCTACGGAGTTGTACACGCCGAAAGTCGACGCTAAGGACTCGTACAGCGCCAGCTTTAACTATCCTAGAGATCCTTACTACCCTAATTACAGCACGTACTCCAAGGCTGCATCGCCCTCCTCTTACGGGTATTACGGTTCCGTACCGTATTCGTACTCGACGCCGGCGGCGCCTTACAACGGTTACAGTGCGTACTCTGCACCGTACAACGTGCCATCGCCGTCCTCTTACTCGCCGATTCCTTACTCCGCCACTTATCCTAATTATTATTATCAGCCTGCCTACTATTACCCGGGTTATTACAACAAACCTCCGTATTCCTCGTTACCGCCACCGCCGCCGCCACCACCACCACCTGGCAGCGATTACCACGGCGAGTCGTATTCCGATTCAGAAGGCAGCAAGGGTAAAGAGAGAAACTCTAACGGAGATAAGAAGTACAGGGACGACAATGGTAGTCAGTTCGTCGACGGTGGCAATTACATTTCCGGGAACCCGAGAGACCTCGACGTTCAACCGAGCACCTACAAGACGAGCAGTCCTAGAAATCAATTGGAGGAAACTGGCAATGTGAAGAATCTTCAGTTACCGTTGCCGAAAACGACGTACAGAGTGATCAGCGTGGCTGGCCAGCCGGTGGGTCCTGATTATCCGTTGCCCGTGCCGTACCAGAAAGCTCAGCAGTTGGACGAGTTGATGAGCCATGCTTGGGCCAAGCTGTTGGTCCAGAACTTGCAACAAGTCGCTCTGAACGCTGCGAGCAAGGCGAACGAGGGTCAGTACGTCGAGCAGAACGATCAGGGGAAGGAAGCGCGGTTCGCTTCCGTTGGTAACGGGGCTGCCAAGGGGTTGACTTTTATCGTCAACCCGAATCTGCTTGGGAAATTGAACGGCCAGCAGACGGCTACGACGCAGCTGAAGAAGTATCCGATACCTGTGAAGGCGGGCGTGTACGCCGTGAAGCCTGAGAAGGGTCAAGACGAATCGAACGAGTACGAGACTTACGAAAATCCGCCACCTCAGGGCAGCCAGGATTACGACGGCCAATCCGATAAGCAGCAGCAGAGTTACGAGAACGAGCAGAATTATCAAAATCAGAACTTCGTCACGGCACAGACGCCGCAAGCGTACAGTTATCAGTATACTAACTACAATGCCCCGCAGATCAGTCAGCAGCAGGCGCAGCAGTATAAAAATAATCTGGACGACGTGAACTTCAGTACTGACACCAAGAAGGGATAACTGGCTCAATGGAATTGTCACGGTGCTTGATGAATTTGTTTTGTCGTTACAGAGCTTTATTTTTGTACTCGTTTATAGGTATAAGATAGAAATCGTATTTATGTTATTATCGTTTTTGTTACGAATCACCGATGTGCCGATTATAATTTACTTTCGAAATTATACATTTGCGGATCGCACGAGGTGCTGGACCTGTTAGAGTAAGATATATTAACATTCCTTTCATTTCTACTAAAGCGTTCATCGATCCGAAAGGTCATTTCGCCTACGTTTCAGAATTTGTAAATTTCTTATCCATCCTCTGTGTCATTAGTAATAAATGTTCGTTGTTGTTTCCTGCGAGACTCTCTTATTTCCATATTCTCACCTGGGGTTACATCGCCGGAGCGAGATTTTTAAAACCGTGCTTCGCTGGTATCGTGCGAACGCGGGTCGACGAATCCTCGACCTCGTCGGGAGCTGCACACGCGGAAAGGCGAATGAAAGGAAGCGATCCGGATCTGGGAGAACGTCCGGTGGATCGTTTGGGCGCGGTAATGGAAAGGGGAAGTGAGGCTGCGATCGGAACGGAATCGCGGCAGGTGAGAGAGAGTGGCGTGTTCCGGCGTTTTGCTTTATTTTTCGCATTCCCAGCGCGGAGCGGCGGTCGAAAAATAAAATCGGACGAGCCGAGACCTCTTACTTTCTCGTGCCCGGGCTCGATCTCGATACACCGACACAGGCGGTGACCTGAAACCTCGATACCGTTTACCTTTTCCCGCGTTTACGCCGATCTGGTAAAACTTTGATCATTCGCCGAGCTCGGATAATCGAAGCTTTCAAAGATGCAATCGCGAATTCTGTTTCTCCGGTTGGAAGTTTCGATTTCTCAAAGATTCCTTTCTCAATAAACTTTCGCTCTCTCCTCTGGACGTGTCGATTTAAAATGCAGCGACCTGTAAGTACTTTGCATAAAATAGTACGTAGGAGGTCGCGTCTACTGGTATAAAATTTCAATGATTTTCCAATCGTGGGGCCAAAACGTCTAGAAAGCGGTCCGGTCGAAACACCGATCCGTCTGCCTTCCTTTCTGAACCCGCTCTGTGACGAAATCGCGAAACCGTCAAAACCCGGTTCTTTATTTTCTGCGAGCCTCGCCGAGAAAGTTAATGGAGGATGATCCGAGCGAGAGGGCTCGTCGTTTATTAGATCATTTCCCTTGCTTCCACGCCCAGAATGCGGATAGAAAGTGTTTTCTTTTTATTCGTTGTCCGGCCGCTGCTGCTCGTGCCCGACCGGCCGGGGCTGGAAGAAAGGGTTCACGGAAACGCGAGATTCAATGGCGAGCCGTATCGAGTATGGAGTGGGATCACCGTGAGATTGATGAACTTCGCGAGATCTCCTTTCCTTCCGTTAAGTACAATTTTTCGAGCACCGTATCCAGAGTGAAAAGCGAGCCACGATTATTTTCCATCGGTTCGCCTTCCTGGTAATTTCTCTCGTATGCAATAACAATTTTACCAAGGATGCCTCTTACTGCATATTAAAAGCATATTTTAAAAATTACATAGGATATCTCCCTGCGCGTTGTCCTGTCGAGCTTTCGTTCCACCGTGATGGATGATCGGATTATTTACCGGATTATTTACGTGCACTGTCACCAAGATATGTTCATTTTCCAAACTGACGATTCACTTAATTTCTAATTTATTAAAAACATGTGTAATAAACATGATTCTAATGATTTAAACGGAGGAGACTGTTTTCACAGTGACGAAAGTGTCAAGCGCAGTTAAAGAACAAATTCGCTTTATTAACGAACTACAGAATCGATTAACTGGCGAAGTAATTAGTACAACTTTGTGCCGGGGCGTTTGGAACAATTTACAGGGAGATTACTCTGGCTCCGACTGTGCCAGCGTTTAACAGAGTCTTGACGATGCGTTCGCCTGGCGGAAATTAGAAACATCTATTTAATAACCAACTTCCGAACGCCATGGGACACGTTTCTATTTCAGTTCAGCCCGATCTCACAGGGAACGCGTTTTATTCGAATCAATCATCGACGGTAATTACTATGATAGTCATCGTGAGAAGTGGATATCAGTAGGAGAAAATTGAATGAGGAAAAACTGGTATATGTCCGATTCGTTCAACTTACAATCGTTTAGGTAATACAAAATATGCACGTTCGGACTGCGTGAAAATGGATGCTGGTTCAGACGATTTATTGCCCAACGCAGCGATTCATATTTCCTTATGGGTGTTCGTTCCATCCTTACGGAGTGGTCAACGGCTTTTGAGGGAGAAAGGGAAACTGCAATCCCTTCACTCGTACCTGAACCGACCGGCTATTCTTCGGCGCGTGGTCCACTGGAGGGCTTCCGAACGCGCTAAGATCCACAAGTGAAGTGTGCCTCCTCGAGCCTCTAGGGAAGGGGTAAAGGCTATATAAGAGAACGTGAATCTACTTTGGTTTTGTAGTAGAGCTAGGATCTTTGTATCGCGATCGCACCTTCTGAAATTAAGTAACATGGTAAGTCGTATCGTCGTATCAATGACCCATCTTAATTAATTGAATTAAAAAAATGATTTTTATTAGAAAACAAGAGTTTCAGTCCTCCATTAATGTTTCTTTAATTATTTGAGATGATATAAATCTATAATGGCTCTTGATTTTGATCACATGAATAAAATCTATATTAATAACTAATTTATAAAATTTTTTAATCATTTGTTTCTATTGAAAATAATTCGGGAATGGAAGAGTTGAAAGAACAAAACCGATTGAGAGTCATGAAAGAGAAACTTTTACTTTTTCATCAACGATTCGATACACATGCTCATGGGAGTGGTCATCCCCATGAGCAACCGGATCCAGTCGTGGAGTATAAAAGACTGGTCCACGACGGATGTTTGACCCAGAACTTCGCGTGAAGTGAAAGTGCACCCCGATGCAAGTTCATTTTTCTCAATTACTGCAATGGTTAACAAACACATCCGGCTTAAATAACGTCACATAAAACTGCATTCTGTTAACTCCGTTATTTAAGATATATCATAAAATATCGTTTTTTTTTTATTTCGTAGAAATTCTATTTGACGCTCTGCCTGCTGTGGCTGGGCGTGAACGCGGAGAAGAAGATCAACTTGGAGGACATAGAAAGAGACAACCTGAGAGCGGAAGGGTTATCAAAGTCCGGAAATTCACGGGTCGAGGAGACGAAATATCTAACGAAGGAGATCGGCCAGCAGTACCAAATATCGAATCAATACCGTGGCCACCCAGCCAGCTCGCCGGTTACGTTCGTAACACCCTCCCCGCAAAACGTAACGTTGCAAAAGCAATTATCATAGATTACCTGCTGCATCGCTTTATCAGTAACCTACTCGGCTCGCGCTTGTTCAGGCTCCCTCGGAAGCATATAACGTCCAGTTCAATAAATACGCAAAGGAGCAAGTTTATCAGCCGCAAAACAACGTGCTGCCGGAACAAATATTACCGCCGCGATACTACAACGAATACCAACAACAACCGCCGAGAGGAATCGCGCCTAACGTTTACGAATCACAGCAATTGGCTTACCAACCGGAAGTGAACGTCGGCAATCGTTTGCAAGCCGTTCAGCAGAAAGTCGTTACGGCTAAATACACGAAAAGTCCGAATAAAGGTATATTTAAATAGAATTTTAATAATATTTATTTATTAAAATATATAATTTATTTATTTATTATTACAGACACGGTGTACGTGAATATTCCGATGATGCACTTTCTGACCTATTACCCGAATTTACGCGTGGGTTCTGGCAAAGGCGGCGAGTTCCTGCTGCCTCAATTGAGCGCCGCGTCTACCGAGCATATATCGATTCCCGTTTACTCGTCCGCCTTAAGTCAGAAGCCAATTGTTCCCGGAAAGCCGACTTACCAAATTCAGTACGCGCCGAAACATAATGCCGCACCCGTTGCTTTCTCAACCAAGGTTAGCGAGCTAGCCCGATTATATAATCAGAATTCGTGGTTGCAATAAAAATGTATATAGTATTCCGGGAACGAGGATCGAGCGCTCTCGGAACGATGTTAATGCCATGTAACCGGTCTTTGTCTCAGGTAACAAAGGGCGCAGCTTACACGACGCCGGTTACCTCAAAGAAATTCACGAGCTCCCCGTTAGCGAATGCACAGAGTTACGCTCCCTCGGACCAAACGTTCGCCCAGGGAAGACAGCTCTTGTACACACAGGCGTACGTCTCGCCGTCTTCCCAACCACAGTACGTTCCCCAGCTGGTTTACGCTCAACCGACGACGACGGTCTATATGCACGCGACACCGGTTTACAACCCGGTCTATGCACGCGCACCTGCTTACGTCCAGGACAATTCCCTGCAAGCCAACGTGAACTACGCGATTTCGTCGGAACAGTTAGACGCCACTGTCGCCGACGAGCTGCCGGATCAAGTTCTGGCTCACCAACCTTCGGCACAGAACTACGTTAAGGTCGGTCTCGCATGGACTCCTAAGTAGTATTTATTTATATTATTATTATTATAGAATATTTAATGCGGTTACAGGATTCGGACGAACCTAACACTGACTTGACACCGCCGCAAGCACCCGCGCAAGATTTCAAGTCGGGCGCACAAACGGTGATACAAGTATCGGAGGAGGAGGAATCCATTCCAGAGCAGAATCAAGTGGGTCTGGGCGAGCCCAGATCCTTGCTGGACTCGTACGTTCCCAGCAAACTGATCGCAGCTCAAGATTCCGCGAGGTAAATTGTTTTCACCGTATTTAAGCAAATGGTTAATTGTTAAATAATATTTAAATGTTTTTAGATACCAAGAGAGGCCTATTAAACTGGAAAGCGGTTTCCTCCCATCGAAAGAGAACTTTCTATACAAGAAACGCAAGAGCGAGTAATCCGCGAGAGTCGTTTTTCCATTTCACGATTATTAATGAACAGCGCGATGATGGTCAGTAGAACGCGTTGACGGAGATTTCGACGTTAAAAACGGTTCGCGTTTACAAGACGTGTCGCCGACATTACACGAGGCGTGATCGTATCTAGTCTTTCGTCGAACATCGTTGAGCGACAAATTTCTAACCCTTTGTTATTTCTGTCTCTCTACATACCCTATATTACTGTACGTTTTTTTTTAAATAAATTCATATTCACTTAGTTGGAGATTTATGTTAAATTCCTTTATTATATAAACAACGGATTCCTAAATATTATTTCACTGATACAGTAGATTTCCGTACTTCGTTATTTCCGATTGAAGAAATAATGGATTCAGTGAAAGCGACGATGCTATGTTTTATCATCGTCGTCATTGGTTAATTTATGATCATTATATCATTTCCTCTGCTTTTGGCTCTAATGTATCTATGATAAAGGCATTATCGGCTGTGTTACGTACTCTACCAGAGAACCGTTAACACACTAACATAACTATGCACCCGTTAGCGTGGCAAATTGAGAAAGTGCACGCTGGAGGATACATACAGACTTCTATAACTGTTCGTCAGCAATTGCAATCTTTTGTTCTTCTACCTTTTAATGTATTACATAAAAATGAATAAATAAATTATTATAATTATTGAATATTTTACTGGAAATTAACGAATAACTGAGTAGTAGATTTATGATAATATGTAACGTGTTGCACGTATTTGGATCGGTAAATATTCGCGTCACGTTTAAAAGCCGGTTTAATTAGGTTGCCTCGGACCGGAACTGGATCGTGATTCCAACTTTCATCGTGTCGAAATATTAGCCGAGGATGAGCACACGGCCGTTTACATCTGGCAGGTGTCTTTCCGCACGTAAGTAAGTATCGAACCTGGCAGTTGTGTTACAACGGTGAAACTATAATCGTGATGTCCCTCTACGCGGTTCAGGCGAAGGCATATAAGGCGGGATGCTGCCGCGTTCGCTTCATCAGTTCCAAATACACAGGCGTAGAGGTTTAAGATCGGTCATCATGAAGATCTCCGTCGTTCAGGTGAGTACGCCGATTCTAGGTGTTAAACGGTATTACAGTTTCGAGTCTGGACGTTTAATTATTGTGGGTCAGAGGTTATTGGTTGGTTCGTGCAGTTCCTCGACGGGGGTAACAGTTTTATGTGCGCAGACTCTTGTTTCTACCTTATCTCGCCGATAAGTCATTACCGCTATTAGTCGCGAGAAATGTTTCGCAACGGGAATACAAATCGAGTTATTTGTATGCGTTCACGCGTACCACCGATCCTTCAACTTATCTCGTATATTTTTTCTCGGTTTTAGTGATTTATGAAATTGTCTCGAAATTTCTTTCCCCTCTCTCGCGTTGCCAGCTTTCTTGATATTCCCGGAAGCGTGAAGCGTCGTTCTTTCAGAGGCACAGAACTCGCGCATTCCGTTCGTGATTACGTTTCGCAGTGACACGTTTCGGTTGATTTGAATAAACAGAGCGACAGAATTGAATAACTATTGAGTCATTGTACGTTGGATCATTATTTCCGAGGCTGGATATGACCGAGTCCTTTTTCTCCGAGGCGACGCTCCAGCCTCGTTGGAATCGGTCATTACGGAGAAAGTGTTTCTCATTTTCTTTCATCCACAGTCGGCCGAGCCCGAGCGGTGGCAGATGCTCTTGAGCAAGTCAGAGAAAGTCCTTGAAGGTATTCGAGAAACAGCGGCTCTCAGGTTGTCGTAAAATCTGTTGGTCATTAGGTAACAGATTCCTTTTTACCTGGCCCATAGTTAAATCCTCGTTGACAAGATTTGTTTTGTTCGTAAACCAGCCGCTTACGAAATGATCGCCGAGATCTAACGACGTCTATTGGAGATTCTCGAGAGAGTGCTACGTACTTTTACGCATTTTAAGCAACTTTCATTATCGTACTTCACTGTTATTAATGGCATAACTATAACTTAACAGCGAGTAGAAACGAGAGTCGTTTAAGTGCATAATCTTTCCGCGCCGATGCTTATAAAAGTTCAATAGCGAATCGTGAACGTGCGCCCCGGGGCTGTTTGCTCGCCGAAGAAAGCGGTGAAAATTGCAAGCGCCGTGTACGTACGAAACCCGTTCTCTCGCGCCAAACCGGGCGGTTGGGTTCAACTGTGACCTTGTAGAAATTCGCTCTCTTCGACGGCAAGGTCGACCCGAGAAACCACGAGACGTTTCCGCTCGGCGTAATTATCGGTCCGCTCGGACAACGAAAAGGGAGCACCGCGAAAGAAGGGAAGTGAAAGTGCGATTATTATTAGTGGAGCATCAAACTGTCAGATCGATGACTATCCCCTCGTTTGTTATGTGCGCGAATCAAACGTTCCGTCCTTCCGACGTCTAATTTCTTTTTCATTATAGGAAATGCGTTTTTCTAAGGTACATAAACTTTTGGGATTGACTGTGTAGCCAATACATCCTTAAAAGAATTTTCAAAATTTTAATACAATGCAAATTTGCTACAATTATGCTAAAATATAATATATTGCTAAAATTCCTATTTCTAAAATAAATTTATTTATTTATAAATATGGAATATGGTATTAAGATTATTCATTGATTTCAGGTTACCATAGTATTGATAATCGGTCTGTGCTTGACTGAAGCTTCGGGCAAGGCTGTAGATGACGTTACCACTTCACCGAATGCAGACGATATTGACGATACAGAGAAAGAAGAATTAGGAGATGAAGATTTACCGATTTTGCCACCGATTATTTTACTCGACTTCGGCAACGGTACAGACGACGAAAATACGACTTCTGAAGAAAAATCGAAACGCACGGTGAACGGCGGTCTTGGTTACGGCCTAGACAACAACAACCTCCAACACACACCCAGAAGATACAATTACTATTTCCCAGCGGGTAAATCAGGCACTACGGTCAGCATCGAGGAATCGATCAGTCCTTTCCTGCCTAAAACGATAATCGAAAGAGTGCAGCCAAACCGATTCAGTCACTCCCCGAATGTCAATACTCAGACCCATAATCAAGAGTATCAATATCAAAATGTACAATCGAAATCTGAATCAGTGTTCGGGTTGCGAACGAAGCCGCAGAAGCCGAGTCCGAATTTCGAGTACCAAAGCTACTTAACGACGCCGAAGCCGGTGAGCTCGTTCGCGATTCAGAATTCGGGGTACGGCAGCACGACGCAATCACCTTTGTCCTTCGGTGCCACGGAAACGGTCAGGTACGTAACGCCCAGCCCGAAGTTCGCGAGTTCGTTCAACTACGACGGTTACGCCACCGGGCAGAGGCAGAATATTCAATCCGATGTCGATTCGCACGGCTTCCCGTCCGCCTCGCGGACCGCCGAATCCTCGACGATCGGTCCGGCGAACTACGATCATTATTACCAAAGCGAACTCTCGAACGGACCGAGGTACACGTATGAAAACGGGGTCAGTTACGAGAACAAAGTGTTCTGGAAATACCCAGACGGCAGGGTGTCCGACGTGCCGCCTCAAACGTACGTCGAGACTAGCTATTCGGACTATCCGCAATCGTCGGCTCAGCAATCCGTGAGATCCCAGACCACGCGGCCGATTTACGAGGCCAGCACTACGGAAAATACGGTTCTGTCCCAGGGACCGGTGCAATTTCCCACGGTTTCCGAGCAGGCCGAGGGCGAGCCAAACTCATTCGTTTCCGGAGACTCGCTGTCGTCGAGCTTACCACAGCAACAAGTGTATCGGCTCGGTTATCAGGGTCTACTGAACCAGAAGCAGAACAACGTTGCACAGCAACGAAAACCTGGCACTGGCCAGCAGGCCAGCCATTCGTTCTCCCGAGGTAGAGGAACACAGGGCTCGAAGAGCAGCTACCATTCACGGTATCAAACGTTATCAAAATATATGGTGAACAGTCCCAACCCGGAGTATAAGGGTAGATACACGACGGAGCCGACCGTTAACGCTACGACGCCTCTCAATTCGTTCTACGGTTCCGAGGTACGAAATTATTTGGACGAGAAGCAAAGCTCGAAGACTAATGGTTTAAATAGCTACTCGAATCTACAGTACTCCGACCTATTGAGTTACAATCCGTCGATCTCGGAATACGTTAGAAATCCGTCGTCGATTCTGAACGTCCGACCGACTTTCGTCCAAGCCGGAAACTCGCTGGTACCAGTGATCATACTGAGAGTAGACAGCGCATCCCCGATTCAGCCGAAAGCCTCGCAGAACATTAATCTGAAAGCGCTGCTCCAGCAGTATCTCATTCAGTACGCTAAAAGCATCCAAGAATTGGCGCAACCTTCCACCTACAATCTTGGAACGGAGCCGAACTCGAAGGTTACCCAGAGCCCCATTCTGGACTTGATTCGCTTGACTCAGGACGACGCGCGTCCGGCGGCCAGCTATAATTCAAATTCCTACGTCGGCCAGTCGAGCTACGAGGCTAGTAATATCGATCAGACGAAGGATTTCCTCGGCCAGTACAATCAGCGGCCTCGTCAGAAAGTGAAGAACGTTCAGATTTTGGAGGATCCGAGATACACGTCGTACAAAATTAACAATTAGATTCGATTCGAATAGAATAGGCTAATTGATCATCGCAAATATTTTGTGGGCTCGCATATGTACAGGATTTTTCAATGTATGAAATACTCCTCTGAAACAATTTTATAGCAATAAGAGCCCTTTAATTGTTTCTCACTAGAATTCAAATGATTTTATGTCGTATAAAAAAATGGACTGATTTGCATGAACGCGATTCCTAGCTCGTCTTAAGTGGAACGAGTCACGTTAATTAGATTAAAGATAGTCATTCGGTAGTATTTAATACGGGGGACGTGCAATAAAGTTTCATCGCTTTGAAACTGTACTTACGATTCACCAAATTCTCCACTTCAAGAAGGTACCTTATAAGTGTTAAGAATTTTCTTATTGTACAATGCATTTCCTAAATATATGTACTCATTCGTGAATGAATAAACCTACTTAAGCAAATACTTCCTGTTTAATTGCACCTTCAAATAGGATTCTGATAATTAACGTCGTACTTATCTCAATTAACAAGATTTACGATTTACAAAAAGTATTAGTATTTTAAATTTGTAGATTTCTAATAGAAACTTTTCAATCGTTTTACGACTCATCCATACGAGACAATTATAAATGATGTACGCTGTTAATCTTCGTAACATAGGTGGTTGACACCAGCGACTGCGGTGTCTTGAAACCGAGATTTCCATCTACGTCGAGAGGATTTTTTCCCTCTCGAAAAGATAAGTGAATGCGACACGGCTCGCGCGAGGAAAGTAATTAGCATTAATTGGTTGTTAAGTGCAGGCGAACAAACTGTATTCCTAGGGCACGGTTAAAATTCACGTTTTCACAACGAGAGCCGAGCGCGATTTTATCTTTCGCATATCTTTCGCGCACGGCAATTAGACACAAGATATTAAACAGCGGCTCTTCTACACATCTCTTTACCTTCAGGCATGTACGTATGTACGTACCGACCAGCGCACACAGCGTCCGTCGTTTCTAACGCGCGAGCCTGGTTGCATCGGGAGGAGTGAACGCGCTGCGCATAATGCGTGTGTTTCAGAGCGCGTAAAATCCAGCGGGAGAATTACTGACCGCAGGTGAATCTCTTATACCCAACGCAATTACCAATTCCATTAATTCTAACCAAAATTATATGAAATATTTATGAAACATTCAAATGCGCTATAATGTAATTGATTCATAGCGGAACGCAATTGTAATAAATTATAATGTACTTATAAAAAATAAATAAATGATCTTTTTCATAGTAACTTGTATCTTTAATTATTCTAACATTTGTACAACTGAACGAATTTTCTTCTTTCAATTGAATTCTGACTCTATTAATGATACCGTGTGATCGCATCCTGTGTTAGCTACGGACAAAATTTCCGCAGCAGCGGTCGCGTGTCGCGAATGAAAGTATCCGCCGGGCAGCGGAGTATAGGATAATATTTAGAACGATATTTTTCACTTGGCCACCGGAGTGTATAAAGAAAATCGCGTGTCTACTATGTGGCTCAGTTCTCGCGCGGAGGTCCACCTCGCAAGGTCTTTTGGATTACATTGGAAACCGTGAAGAGGAGTCCGTGGCCGTGATCAATGTGTACAACGCGAAGCTCGGTGACGCTCGATCCAACGTAATTCGTGGGTTCACTCGTTCAGAGGGTAAAACGTCGCCAGCTACGAGAATGCTATTGCACTTTGTAAGTACGTGACACGATCGAATTCAGTGTCGGTCCTGTGTGAATCAGTGAGAAAAGTGTTCGGAATTTTTTTTTAGCAACAATCTCGTGTCGTTTTTTAATAGAAAAATTTAGAGAAATCGACCCAAATATAAACGAACGATATTTTTCCATGAATTAAAGGCAGAATGCGATCGGATAAGAATTTCTAGACTGTATAATTGGAGCACTTTCTTCATACTTCGATATTTCCCCTAATCGTCGCGCGTGTTAAACGGTCAATTAAACGAAAGGTCTTACTTTCCTCGCGGGGAAACGCGTGCACGCGTTTCGTTTTAAACTGGAACGAAATTTATTACGAATCCAAAGCAACTACGGGTAATTTCACCCGGGCTGAGAGCGTCCCTTTGTCAGCCGCGGACACGTCCCGTAATTATCTTTCCCGAAGCGAAGAGGGTAGCTAAAACCGTCCTCCCTTTGTCGAATTAACAATCGCACGGAAACCTAATTCCGATCTGAGAAAGTTCCATAGGATCTGCTCCCGTGCACATTCAGTCCTCGCCTGTCGTACGGCACACGCGTGTCTCTCGCATTTTACTTTTTCCACTGCGCGTTTCTATTCTAGGTCAGCCCGTTGATTGCCACTTATTTTCGCCGATCGTTCCGTTTAACTTCACTATTATCCTAAGTCCGCAATGATCGTAACGCTTTCTGCGGTTTAAAACTCCGCGCCTTTCGTCTAATTCAATTTAGCCAATGGCCGAACTGTAAACTTTAGGCGAGACGATAAAGCGTTAAGTGTACTTCGGTCAGAACGTTCGCCAGCAATCGGTTTGATTAAATTAAGGAATCGCTAATAATTTTCTATTCGATTATCACGCAGGTTGTGCTCGTATCTTTGAGCTGGCCGCACGTAACAGGAACAGGGAACGCGGACCAGAAGGATGAGCCGTTCGATCAGCTGGCTACCGCGTCGGAGAAACAGGAATTCCGAGACCAACTGATAACGTCTATAGTAGACACCACGGTGCACTATGAGAATTCAAACGGTTTCGTGCCCATGGTCGCATCCCCTTTGCCTGAACTCAAGCAAGACTCCGCGTTACCTCCGTTAGAATCTAACAATGTTACTTCGAACGGACAGAATAATTCGAGCACTGTTGAAGAACTTGATAACATCGAGGACGATCCCGCTTATTCTACGGAAGCTAGAATATTTCTAAACTTGCCGAACAACCGTAGATCTTTCGAGTACCAGGCTAACCAGAACGAGTTCGAATTGCTAAAGGTCAGAAACAATACACCGGTGGTCGCCAATTATCCGGACACGTACGAGGATCCAAGATCTGACGAGAATGATGATAAGACTCGATCGAGGCACAGGACTCAAGGCAAAGGGCAGAAGATCGAGAATTATATGGGAAATTATGGAACAGTCACGCCTGAGAACTTTCATAATTCACCGAAGGATAATGAGAAGAAGAACCAGGAGAAAGTAACCAATTATCATCAGCAACGAGTTTTGAACTATGACGGGCAGAGCAAGCAGCCGCGGCCTACAGTGGCATCCATCCCAAGGCCGAACCAGGAGATCAGTCTTTTCTTAAATACTAAAAATAATGACCATTACGATAGCGAGAGTTCGTCATCGCAAATTGCTAAGAATCACAGATTCTCCAGGCCAGTCGTGGTCGCCGAGCCGGATTACAAGCTCGATCGACCGAGCTCTGATGAATATCAAAATTCGAGGGTGCTCGATTCGGTGCAAAGCGCGGAGGCTATGAATCGGTACATGATGGACAACAGAAATGGAAGATATCGCAGCGAGGAGGACTCCGGAGATGCGTCGGAGGACGAATACGTGGAGTACACGGAGAGGCCTAGAAAAATACAGAAGAGCCGGCGACGACCTAATGACAGTAAAAGATTGCCGAAAGAGCATCGCGGTTCGCACGATGACAGCACGGAGTACGAGATTCACGGAAAGAGGCATCACGCGTCGAGGACCAAGTCCCATCGTCACAGGACCAGAGGAAATTCTTGGACGAACAACGACGACCAGGATCAGGACGACAGTTACGAGGATACGAGGCAGGACGAGAGATTATCGGAGACGAGGCACAAATCGCAGAGTTCGAAGTTTAAACCGAGCCCTAGCTGGAACCAGATCTCGCCTAATCTCGAGATTTCGCATTCCAGCGGCATCGAAATCGGGCAGCTCGAGAAGCCTAAGCTGATCGTCCCGGTGAACCTGGTACGGCTGGCGAATTTCAATCACGCAACGGCGATCGGTAACAGCCAAGGCTTCGACGTGTCGAACGCAGTTCTACGCAACATCGTCCCAGCGGTCGGTAATCCGAACGACAACGCGGTCAGTCAAGACGTCAAGGTGAAAGTATCCACGCCAGTCCCGGACGTCATCGTCGGCCAGAATAATTTCCAGAATCAGATGTATTCGAACGATCAGAACAAATACTACAAACCGCAGTACGTGTCCAGCACGGCGGCCCCGGTCCTCGCCGTCGCTCAAGACGGTCAAGGCATGGCCACGCCTCGGCCGAATCAGATGCCACAGCTCATAGTACCTCAGCCGACCCTTCAAACCGTCCCGACGCTCATGCAAACGCCGGTGAATCTCGATTACATTCAGGTGAACCCGCACGGAATACAGGGTCAAAGTGCTATCGGTGGCAGCTTGCAGCCTCTGCCAACGATGTCCACGATCACCCCGACGCCGATCAACTTGATCACCGCCGAGACACAAAACAAGAAGATGCTCCCAGGCGCGGCGAATACGAACTTCTTAGCCTCTGCCAGTCTGTCAGTCGGCCAGAACGAGCAAACGAACAACGGGGATTCGTACTACTCGCAGGATTTGAATAATCAGCAGAATCTTAAACAAGGCTGGTATCAACAGATGAACGCTCCCAAGATGAAGGCTTACATCCAGACGCACTTGCTGCCGGTGTTGCAGTCGGTGCCGACTTTCGCCACGATCTCAGCGAACGGTCAAGATCAAAATCAGCAGTACACGGGATACGAGAATAACGCGAAACCAGCCCTCGCGTATCAATCGATCGACAACGCGGAAAGTAACGGCAATGGGAACGCGAATGCGTCACCGGGGATCATTAGCAATGCTCATTTACCGCACGTTGGTACGAGGAACGTCGAAATTGTCAATCCGAATATCAAACCCAGCCCCGTGGACACCATTATAAATTCCTACGAGGCGATGCATTATCCCGCCGCTGTTTTGACCACATCAATACCGATGTTTACCGCAACCGGATTCGTTACGGCCAGGCCGGCTGTATTATCGCCGACCACGGAACCCGCGAACGTTCACAGCTTCGCGAACTCGTTGACCGAAATCGGTGCGAAGAACAATCAGGCTAATAACGATTTGAAAGCTTACCAGTCTCAGAACCGGCCGATGTTCAATCCAATTAATTTCGTTCCGAACGTGGAGGTCGTCAGAAATCAAGACGCGTTGAACAGTAAGTTACACGCGAACGAGCCTCTTCAACAGAACTTGAATCTAGTGCCTTTGATACCCGGTGGTAACTTCTTTAAACCCTCGTTCACCTCGCACAGCGAATTATACCAGAAACCGAAATTGTCTTCGGATCTGGCGACCTACGCCGAGCAGATGTTTAAGGAATCCCTAAAGACGATGTATAATTCTCAGAAATGGAACAACGACCGCAATCGACGGCAAAATGTGACCGAAGCAGACGTTATAAGACTGAGGAACGAATTGCAACGATTGAAAGCCTCGCTGTACGACTCCAGGAATAAAGATCACGAGGCGCACCATAGCGAGACGAATGTGCAAACGGCCGAACTGCCGAATAAGAAACCGGACCCTGAACTCGTAGCAGCGTTCGAACAGATGCTGAAGAATCACCCGAAGGAGTATAATTTCCGTGGCAAACCGCACAGACACCGCAGACCCGAGAAGTATAGAGAGACGAAGCATATCAAGGATTTTATGACCCCGCCGCACCAACGTTTGAAAGGTCATCACTTTGAGAAGCCTGGTAAAAAGAGACCAGGTCCGAGGTTCCGTAATCATCATCACGGACCCAGGCCGCACCATAGAAGCAATTTGTCTCCGAAAGCCGGGAGTCTCGAGGTATCTGGGTCGAATATCGACCCGGTGCACGTCGAGGGTTTCCCGCAGTACGAGACCATCCACGATTCGAGGCAGTTCCGAAAAGGCTCGTACTCCTCGGCCTCCCATGAGAGAAATAATTCCCCCAACGGTAAACATTATAAAGGATTCGACGGTAAAGAGAGTTCTTACAATCAGCCCAAGATGCACAATCTCTTCGGTCTTTTGATGAAGAACAAACAGCTGCCGAGTGGGAACAACCCGAACTACTTTCGAGACAAGGATCAGCTGAAACAATTCTTGGACGATGAAAAGCGCCGGATGGAGCAACAATTCTTCGGCGATACATTCAAGGATCAAGCTTATAGAACCGGGACCCAAGGCCCGTTGTACTCTAATTTAGGACAGGCCAGCAACGCTCGGAGATCGTTGCCCGAAAAGAGGATCGTTTGAATCCGCGTTTCAATTTCACAGAGGCTCTCATGATCGATACCAAATATCATTTTGATACTATTCTATTTTGTTCTAAATCGGTCGTATAAAATCGAGACTGACGTTCGAATTGTCTGTTTATAAGGTGCTACAGTTTGTTGTATATATTACTTATAAATAAAATACCATAAATCTATCGACGTAAATTTTCATAAAACCCTCTCGACTGTACTTCTTCTCATCTGCACTTTCACCGAAGTTCTATAAAATATACCAGTGACGAATGGTAACCATAAACGATCGTATTCGTCATTCTCGCCTTTCTAATTTCCAAGGGACGTAATTAATCGCGGATCGATCGAACCCCTATAAATTTTGCATTGAATCAAAGTGAAAGTGCTTTTACCCGCAGCGAATTTGACATCGACCTTGATACATTCTCACTTCTTTATAGGGTGCGCAGGAAAGTGTGAACATTTTTTTCTGGCCGAGCACCGACAGGGCTTGAATAAAATTTCTAATTCGTAACAATTTTCTGCTCGATAAACGAGGCGCACCATGCCACGTGTAACGGCAGGAGCTCGTCACACCGTGGCTATTCCGTTGCAACAGGTAGTTGAAAAAATGTTCACGTAATCGACCCGTCATTTTTGCGATCGATTCTTACGACTCTGTGACAATTTTCTGCACGCATTGCGTCAAACCGCGATTGTTTCAATTTGCCACAATGTCCCATGGACTCCGCTACGTATATACCGTCGAGGTTTTACTTTCACCGGAAAGGATAGTCGGAAAGCAATTAGAAACAAATCTTTTACGGCAGTTCCATCCATTCCGTTGGGGATAATGTGCCCGACTAATTTCCTAGGAACTGTGAGCGATGAATATTGACCAGTTAATTGCTTTTCCGCTCGGAGCAATTATTACCGTACCAATCTGGGATGTTTGAATAGAGAATTTAATCGAGCGTCGATTCTTTCGTGCACGATGAATGGAAAATAAATTTTAACGATAAATAAACAGAAAAATCGAGGCGTGCGAGCGAGGGGCTTTTTGTTAAAAATTAATTCGCGGCAGTTACTGACTGCGGAAATCTAAATTAGCCGGGAGTTAGGTCGTTGACACGCCGCTTAAGTATCGACGAGAGTCACGGAGGTTTAACTCGGTTTTTCTTCGGCACGGTTTTTGTCAAACGGTAGAAAAGTCAAACCCGTTCGATGGTCTCGCATCGGTAATCGGTAATGAATATAAAAGATCACGAGGCCCGCGTCGCCGTCAGTTAAGAGGAAACGTCCGTGTCTCTCTGCGCCGACGTCATGTTGGTACGTCTCGTTCGTAATTATACAATTTCAGTGAACGAACATACGTATAATATGTTTGTATTTTAGATTTTCGTCGCCTTGCTCTTATCGGCATTGAATGCAACGGGAGGGAGTGTTGCGGAACCGAAGAATGGGAATGTTACTCAAGAATACAGGACCCATCGGTATCAGCCAGTTAGTCCCACTCCCCGAACCGCCCAAATGGACGATGCGAAGACTTATTACAAGAATGCGAAAATAGAGCCTGCAGAACTCGGTGACTCGTACGCTTATGATAATATATTTAAACATTCAGCAATATCTCCATATTCTCAAAGCAACGAGCAATTGTCACCGTATTCGGAGAATCTATTCACCATGTCCGCTGGTTATAAAGTGGCAAACGATAATTTCGCTAAACCATCGAAACAATCTGGTACGTATATATGCATCATATAGATCATTTTACATGATGTATACAAATATTAATTATATCTAATTATTCTCTAATATGTTATTTTTCCAGGTACGAATGTACAAGTTCCGATATACAAAACGAATCACCCGCTGTCAAAAGGGACACACGTGTTCTCGTCCGCGTATCAGAATAAGAAACCGACGATATACCACTTGAATCCCCAAGAGCACCCTTCGTATCTATCCGCGTTTCAAAGCCAGCCGCTGGTTTTGAATCCCTTATCTCAGTTCCAAACAGGAAAAGTGAACAACCTGCAATTGAGCTCGCCGTTTGCTTCGCCGCTATCCAGTTTCCAGAGCCACGTAGTCCCGATTTCCACCGCGAGCAATAATCTACAATTTCCTCAGTACAAAGGCGCTGCCATAAACGTGTACCCCAATTTCGGTGGATTCTCAACAGCGACTTACCATCCCCTGCAAGCGCAGCCGCAACTGCATTTCGGGCATTCGAATCAGCGTCGACCGGTTGAAAATCGTCCTAATGAAGGGATTCTTTACGACGTCGAGATTATTACTAAGAAACCTATGCCTCCGCCTAAAAAGGACGAAGAAGATGATGATGGCAGTGATAAGGAGGATGACGAAGGTTTGTTTTATCATTTTTTTAAATCTTTGGACCTTCAAAATTATAAGACTGATACAGACAATATATTCGCACTCATTTTAGAATTGTATAATTTTTTTTAATATTGGATCAAAGAATTTAATATTCTGTGGAATATTAGAAAGCATGGTTTACTGTACAATTAAAAAAATTATCATACTTATATAAAAGCTGTAAAATATCACAATACTACAAAAGCAGATCGGTTTCGAAAATTCTTCGTTATTTTATCAGATTGTAAAAATTAAGTTTAATAAATAATTCTCACAGGTCAAACAGGAGAGAAAGAGTATGGACCAGATTCGGATGACGATAGCGACTACGAGCATAAACCAGAGAAGCACTTCGAGTCGCCAGCTATGGAAGGTGACTTCAAGCCCTCCTCGAATCCGTTCAAGCAGTACGACAAGAAATTTGGCAAGTATTCAAGCCGGGATCGTGACGAGGAAACCGACGAGAAGACGTTTCCCAAATACAATGACGATAATCATGATGAACGTGCTAAATATCAATCGGATGGTTCCTCGTCCAAGCCTTTGTACGACAGACGAGAAAACAACGAAGAGAATGACGAGACGCAGGAAAGCGAAGAAACCTCGGACGATACCCATAAGTCAAAATATTTCGACTACGACGAAGAGTTCAAACCATCGAGACGAAATAATTTTAAGTATTACAAGAATTCTCAAGATTTCCAAGACACCGATGGACACAGTTCTGACATCGTAACGAGTTTTTCACCAAAACACGAGGGAAGCTTCGGATACAAAATACGAAGAAACAAGGGATTGTAATTGTTAGAATGATTTATTATAGAGATAAGAATTAGTACAATGCGAATTAATCTTTACATGTAAATTAATTATTATATTGTTACTTTATTTATATTGTTATTTTTGTACGTAAGTTGAAAACTGTATAAAATAATTTTCCACCGGAAGTTCAACACACGTAATAATTCGCTAGAATTTTTCTCAAGTGGAAACGAAAGATAATTATTACGACTCATCAATTTCCGAACGAATGATCGCTGATTGTACAGGAACGTTACAGTAAATTGTAATTACAGAATAAAGACTCTTCCTATTCTCTAATTAAATCAATTTTCTCATTACGATCGAGCGTTCTCTCAATCAGTATATATACTGGTCCTTCGACTTGGACACTTCAGTCATCAATAACGTTCATCACTCGATAACATCTGCTCTTTCAACATGAAGTTCGTACACAGGGTAAAAAGCAGTGAAAGCTCTATTTAAAAAAGTTGTTAAAATTATTGATTAAAAATAAATATTTGTAGATCGTGATTGCAGTCGTCGCGATTAGTATCGTCGATTCGAAGTCTCAGTCGAGAAAAGATAAAAGAGGCGTAACCGTGTTGGGACCGTCTGGTTACGACTTCTTCGGAGTGGCTCCTATTTTTTCCACCGGTGCATGGCCCCCATCGAGCTTTGGATCTGTTCCTTGGAATCCTTCCGGAATACCCGACATTCCTTTAACGCAGGTCCAGGTCCAAGCCACGCACAATGTCGCTGTTCAGGTACTTGATTTATTTATTATTATAGAAATTACTTAAGAAATTCTTCAACTATAAAATTTTCGTGATGGATTTTTCAAAACGATTTGCGTGCCAGGCATTAAGGGATCCAGTCTCCGGCACGCCGAGCATCGCTTACCCTCCGGACGTGCTGAAAGCCATACAACTGGCCAAGGAAGCGAATCAGAATGTAAATTCAGCGCAGCAGAAAGTAGCCGAGGCCAAACAGGCCGCTATTGTTCAGCAGAAAATTGCACTGGCCAAGGAAGCTGCCGCGAGGGAAGCCGCGGCGAGGTAATATGCATACTTCTCGTAATAAATCGAAGTACCGTGCATGTTTTCAATCAATGCCAAACTCCGATCCCGACGAACCCTATGTACCATCTGTACTTCTACTTTAATGTCTATCCGCCCTGTTTTAGGTCGCAAGAAATCTCGTCGAACGCCGAGGCCGAGGCGAGATCGAGCGCGAAGCAATTGGTGGCTCTGCAGCAGAGATTAGCGTCGTTGAAGGATGCCGTCGCAGCTGCTCAACGAGTGGCTGCGGCGAGGGAAGCCGCAGCAGCCGCCGCTATTCAGAGAAACGCTGCTGCGACCGCTGCCGAGTTACAGAAGCAGGACGTGGACAAGCAGATCACTCAGAGCGAACAGGAAGCGAAGGTACTCCGGTGAACTCACGATTGAAAGAGTGTTGAAACTTTAATTAATCCCCAGGAAAAGGACATAATCGCTGCGAAGGAGAACGCCGTCGCGAACGCTGTGCAGCTCGCGGCTCTTCAGAAACCACCGCATCATCCATGGCGTCGTTAAGCAATTTCTATTAAGCACGAAGCTCTTGTATCGTTTGTTACGGTGATGGTTCCCTTGTTACAAATAAAATCTGTTCGTCCGCCAAATTTGTCGATTAATCTGCTCGCCGATTAGAAAGTGGCACGCGTGGCTTTCACCATTAGCCACGTTGTATCCCCGACCCGATGATAATAGATGCACCCGTTAATCTTTCTATTGTTCGTTACGTTTAACCGGGTGCCATCAGACGCGACGTTACCTGATTATCTAACAGACCGCGTATTCGTGACACAGTTGCGGTCACGATTGCGAGAATTGGTTAAAAAGTATAGCGCACCCGTTTCCTTTCACGAGGTCAGGAACCTCGAGCATCGTTTTAGCAGCGACTGGCGGGAAACAATGGTGCAGTTTGTCGTACGTTCCACGGGAAGTGGCAGTGAAAGTGACGGCCGTAGGAAGGAGCGACTGTATCGATAGTCGAAGAATGCGATATCAGTGTCCAGTTACGTGGTACACGGCAGCCGGAGATCGACTGGGTTGGGTAGAGCTCCGGCGGATTCACGGGTGCACGTCGTCCTTTCACTCGCCTCTTTTTCTTTACAATTCGTAATAGGTATAGCTCTATTCTCTTTCTCACCGTCCGCCTTTCCCGGCTCGAACGGACCCCGAGCAATTACGTCGAAAGAAAGTCGTTCGATCAAAGTCACTCTTTCCTGGCCCGGTGACTTCTATGCTCGCTCCTTGACCGTTTCCCTGAACAATGACCCTGCCTGTCGACGCCCAGATTGACCGATGTAGCTACGTAACGGGAATTGCCGAGGGTACGAGTTTCCCACCGAAACGGTTTTCAAAAGCCGAAGCCAAGCTACGAATTTGTAACGCGATTCACAGGCAACGTCTTCGACCGATGCATCGTGCGAAAGGGAAAAACGATGACGTGCCCTCCGGCGAACGGGATTATTATAACTATCATGGCTCGCCGATCTCGGTGAGCCGGTAAGATGCTTTTTTTGAATCTACGCGCTCGCTTTTTGCCTTTTACCCAACCTACATTTGTTCGCTTTCCTTTTTCGAAGGATCGCACTCTCACTACGAGGCTAGTCAAAGTTTTTACACGGTGTGTCACATTGCCTCCGTTCCAAAAAGCCGCATTTGTTAATTGACAACTTTCCCTTCCCGGTGGCTCTCGAATCGTGAATTATGGAATTCGGGTTTAATCCGTTGGAGACGGTCGCTAGCTGGCCGTGTTGTATCCTCGGGCGAGAAAATTTCATGTGACATCGTAAAATAGATTAAAACGGAAGACAGAGACTCGGGTAGGAAAGGAAATTGCTTTCAACGGCCGGCCCAGTCGAAAGGATTATACCGTCCACGCCCGTTCACCACGTTCACCGACTTCTGACGTTGCATTCCGTCAGCGTTTCCCGAGGAAGATCGATCGGCGATCGGCGCCGGTCCACGGGTCGAATTTACAATTCATTTCTCCGGGAGAAACCTGGAATGTATTCATATTATGCATGGGACGCGGCCGTCCGTGTTCTTGTAACCGAATATCAATGAAAATTCCGTCTTCCAGATTTGATTACACTATATCTTAGCTACCTTCGATCGAGATTGTTTACCCCTTTCTGAAGCTTGGATCTTCCGTCATGGCTGAAAGGCGAACAGTGTCGAGTTTCGTACTCGCATAAGCGTATTTCCTACGAACGCGAGCATGCAAGTCCGGTTTCCGAGAGAGAGAGATCATCCGCGGCTGTGGGAAGGGAGGAAGCGTATAAAAAGGATCGGTCCATCGGCAAGCGGTCGCAGTATCCGTATTTGTTACTTCAACCACTGTCCTCATTATTATATAAATCGAGAAATGATTTCTTGGTCGCCTGTAAGTATCCAAAGCCAGAGGGGGCGAGTAAAGCGAGCTCGCATGAATGAATGGGAAACAGTGAATCGTGGCTATCGAACAATGCCGGTGAAAAGTGACCAATAGGATCTATCGACACTAGCATCGTACATTCTTATCGAGACACACACCCGTAGTTTTTATTCAGACTCCGAAAAGAGGGGGTGCGATCGCGCCCCGATCATCGCGAATATGTGATTTACTCGCATTATCAGTGAATCGAGAAAGTATCTGGAAAAAACGGAGTTTAGAAATTTAATCTAGTTTTCAATTCGCGATATAATAATTATCAATCATTTCAGGCAGTCGTAATATGCTTAATTGCAACGTCCGCGATAGCTAGTATCGACGGTAGTTCCAGCGGCTGGCAGGGGTAAGGAATCGTTTCTATTCCGATTAATTCAGGTGATTTAAATCGAATCGACTTCGATCGACAGTGTGTCAGGGGGTTATGGCTATGAGTCTGGACACGGTTTGGATTTGGGACACTTGTCCGGCGGTCTCCACGATTATGGGTCCTACGGGGGCGGCGGTCACGGACTGCACGGACACGTTCAGCATCATTACGCTCAAGCCGTGCCCGTCAGCGAGCACGTGGAAATCACGAAACCTGTGCCCGTACCAGTTATCAAAAACATCGGTAAGTCTCTTAATTAATTATCAAATTAATGACAATTTTAATGTAGTTATGCACGTTTGGTCTATTTCTCAAAATCTAGAACGGAATATTGACGAATTCGTAAATAATTAAATTCCTTCCTCAATTGTAACTTGAAGAAAAAAGTAATCTTGTTAATCAAGACTTTCTATTCATTCTTGTAGGGGTACCGGTAGCACAACCAGTGGCGATAGCGATCCCACACCCGGTCGCAATCGGAGTACCGCAACCTTATCCGGTTCACGTACCGGTCGCGAAGCCGGTAGCAATTCCAGTGGTAAAGACCGTGGCTGTGCCAGTCGAGAAGAAGGTTCCCTTTCCGGTGGAGAAGATAATACCCGTTCCGGTAGAGAAGCACGTGCCCATACCTGTCGAAAAGCACATACCAGTGCCTGTGGAGAAGCCGTACCCGATTCACGTGCCCGTTTACAAACACGTGTTTCATCGGGTGAAGTCTCACGGATGGAACTATTAACCGTTGCATCACGACGTTTCAAGCAAAGCCCGTAGAAGGATACGTATATACGCGTATGCATCGACAGGAACGATCCGCCGCATTGCAGGCGGAGTAATTACGCCTAACGGGGTGTAAATCGACGAATGGGAGTAGACAAGATGCGTCGTTGCGTTCTGTACATACATATTTATGATTGTTTGTTTTGTTACCGTGTTACCAAATAAACGATTTATTTCTAATGATCTTGACAATTTTAATACCACCCGAGATACGAAATAATTAAGGTAGTTATCTCCTAAATGAACACTATTCGAGATAATCACGAAACTTTCAACAAAATTAATTAAGCACCTGATAAATACTTATGCGAAGTTTCAGTGCATTTTATCACATAGTTTCTGAGATGAATTATGGTTTATATGTCGATTATTATTAAGCACTATTATCGAGCAGTGATTCAGGAAGGAATGTATGTGAACGGTAGATAGTAGATAGTACATAATATGAAAGCAGTTTAGATAGTAGTCAGACATTAGTCAGTCTCTATGAAATATTTATCGTATTCTGAATTGTCATCGACTTTATTGTTCTTTCTTCTTTATTTTCCATCCATTCTCAGCTACGAGTAGCTGATCCGATCCGATATACCACGGCTATTGTCAGCACTCTTGACGAATCAGCCTATGTCTGAGATAGCGTATATGTATACTCGTGTACTATTCATTCACGCCATTGTCAACGAGTACAACGCTGTATTTCCGTCGCCTATAGAGTCTGACAGTTGGAAACGAATCACACATTATGTATGATTTACGACGATTTTCCTTAAGCGTTCGCAATTTCCTTCTCCTCCCCTTTTCCTATTATTGTTAATACTCAGTCAAGTTATTACAAAATAGGTAATCATTAAATCGCGATGAACGGCTAAAGAATCATTGGAAATGTTAAGTCACGAATTGTACGGTATCTCGGGCGTCTCGTAATTATCATAATTTTCCGGATAGTAATGAACAGATAGCGCGGTTCGTGCTTAGATGATTCTGAGAGCGTTCGTTATGCTCTCTCCACAAGTCTGGTTAAACGCGTGCCTACGTGAGCTGGATTCTGTACTGCGAATACCGCTGCACGCGATCCTCGCGATTAATTATATTTGTCACATACCGTTTCCTGCAAAATCTCAATAAGGAGTTTATCTCAGATGCAAATTTGTTATACATCTTCTTTAATAGAATATATTTACTATCTTTGAAAACTATTTTTATTACGTTGTAATAAATGTGAGAGAAGTCTGATCAGTTTTTATACATTCATGAATATCACAGTGCGTGATCGATAGATGATCTTCACGCTTCGATGCTATAAGATTATATTTATGTAATGATACCAATGAAACAGGTTTCGCAAATAAATTATGATTTCTATTCCTAGTTTATTGTTCACTTCCCGTAAAACTATTTGCGGGAACATTAAGTCGCTATTTGCGAGACAGCAAACCTAGCAGTCATGTTTTATTCATAATGTCAATGCTAAGGCTGCGATGTCAACGAACTATAAATCGCGACGAGACGTCCACACAGTTTTTCGAGCATATGTGTCGACGCAACGGTGGTAGCGGAGATGAAAATTGTGAGCGTGAGAGGCGGCATTCACTCGACGATTGAACAGAATAGAACAGAAACTGTGCAATTCACACGGGCGGCCGGTGAATTCGCCAGCCAATACGTTTACCAAGTGCTCGCCGGACCGATGACTGGCAAACAATTGGTACGGTCCGCGGCGTTAAATCGCGACGCAGCGGCGGACTAAATTACATCCTCGACAGTGAAAGGCTCGACGGTATATTAAGACGAGCAATGAGCAAAGATGTATCAGTCGCTGTAGGAACCTGTACATCTAAGCTAGGTGCACTGCTCTATATGTCTCTAAACATGAGCAAACTCGTGAGTAGAATATTCGGCGACTTCCAATAATTCCCTGAATTCTTAACATATAATTTTGCTCCTTGAAACTTCGAGAGAAATATTAACTTTCCTGGATCTGTTTAATATTCACTACTACGACTTCTTCCAATTTCAATTTTTTCGGATTTATTTAATATTTAAAATTATTTTTGAAAATATTGTCCCATAGTGATTTCTAATTTCAGTGATATTCAAGTTCTCCTTCCGTTGCACTCGGCCGACATTCAAATGCACATTCACTGACGCGAACTTTACCTTCAGGTGCTACTTTCTCTGGTGTCCTTGGCCACGGCCGCGCCGTTGATCGTGAAACAGGATAGCAACGAATATCAGCCTCAGTACCTGACTCGGTACCAGCCCGAATTCCAGCCTCAGCTGTACAGCGGTTTCCAGCCCCTGGAGAGATCCGACCACGACAGTGCGTCCAGTTCTGGTGGTGGAGGTTACGGCGGTGATTACGGTGGTAGCTACGGGGGTGACATTGGCGGAGGCCACGGCGGCGATTTAGGCGGAGGTCACGGCGGCGATTTAGGCGGAGATCACGGCGGAAACTTCGAAGGATCTTCCGGAGGATACCAATCGTCCGACGATCACTCGAGTTCGGATTATTCGTCCTTCGGGGGAGGATACGGGGGAGGATACGGAGGAGGATACGGAGGAGGATACGGAGGGGGACACGAGGGTGGTGACGAAGGGCATGGGATATCCTTCGACCATGGACACAGTGTCGTGCATAGCGAACCCGTGTCCGAACACGTTGAAGTGTCAAAGCCAGTGCCAATCAAAGTGATCAAACATATTGGTAAGTAAGATTACTATGATCGTGATTAATAAATTGCAGATTCGTCGACCATTTATCTGGTCATTTATATATGTACTTATTATACATCGTTTATATTTTTAATTTCCAATTAATATTTAATATTTGTAGGAGTACCGGTTCCTCACATCGTGAAGATCGCTGTACCCCATCCGGTGCCCGTCGGCGTGCCCCATCAGTACCCAGTGGCGCATCCGGTAGCAAAAGCGGTTCCTGTGCAAGTGATAAAGACCGTCGCAGTCCCCGTGGAGAAGAAAGTCCCGTTCCCGGTGGAGAAGCATATCCCGGTCCCGGTGGAGAAGCCGGTGCCCATCACGATCGAAAAGCACGTGCCAGTGCCAGTCTACAAACCCTACCCGATAAAGATCCCCGTGTACAAGACGATCTACCACCACGCGAAGAAGCACTAAAAATTAGGCACTGACTACACTCGAGTTCGATTCAACATCGCGATGGACTCGAGGTTGCAACGACTCACTGTTTTCCTTCTGTATATATACTAAGCATTGTTATTATTATATCTTTTTTAATTTTATACATGTTACTTTTCGTTTTCGAATAAAATGCTTAAAAAATTATACGTATGCTCCTATTGTTCTTTTCAAGAGAAAGTTCATACATCAGTTTCCTACTACACTTGTACTTGTATAGTACATAAATACAGACGATTCCGAACTATAATTTATTTCCAAATACATAGAAATTGTTCTATATACTAAGCTATAATTTTACTGAAGCACAAAACGAAGTACAGATTTTGAGACAGGCCCGAGAACAGCTCAGGTGAAATCGGAGGAAAGAACTTTCCACGTTGGACGAAGCGGACAATTTTTTTCCGTACTTTTGTAGATAATAAGTCGAAACAGTCCCGTTGCGTTGATGTGTTCGAGCCGGTCGAGATCGTAATCGGAACTTTCACTAGTATTTTCGACGGGAGATTCCGTGGAAAGTGAGCGTTCGCGGACGAGATACGAACGGCGCAAATGAACCGTGAAGACAAAGGAGGCTCGCCGCGGTAATCGACGAGTAATCCCTCTGTGCAGGAAGCGACTCGGTCAATGCTTCCACGCGACGCTCTCAAATGGGTTGTAATCGTCGTAAAATTAAGTAATTTATTGCTAGTTACTCGAACCGGCGGTCTGTAAGATATGGCTCGGGCTTAAATCAGTTTAATTCGGGCTTTTATCAACACGCGAGTAAACGCAGCGTGAATTTTTTATATCACGTGTACCAACTACAATAATGCGCTCTCCCGACTTTAAACAAATTATTTACAAGCTTATCACGCTTTTCATCGTATTTAATGGCTGTTTAATATTAGTTTTTATATCCTCCTTTCCTGATTATTATCCGAGGTTCATTAGCATCCGAGTTTCATGATTAATATGTCGACCGGATTAAGATTGCTGAAAGTAGGAAGTAGCCAGGGACTCCCACTAGCCGTAGAATGCATGCAATGTGCACTCGATCGGATTTTGTCCCGGATAAGCGGAAACGAGCCGTGCGATCAACTCCTCTAATGAGAGAGTAAGAAAACTGATCGGAACGGGCGGGACGAACTCGCTCTAACGAGGAAATCAGATCGTTATGTAACTATTTCCATCCCACACGTAGCATTCGGCGGAATGGAGAAATGGAACCTGATAGTGAAGGTGCCGGGTAGAATTTCGCACGATAGTGGGGTTGCGTGTCCCTTGCACTATATAAGATCCAACAATTCGTCTCAAGCTAATGTTTTATTCACGGTAGATGCCAGTAACCAGGTGGTGAACATGAAGACGCTTGTACGTCCGAATGAAACAATTTCAAAAATCGATTGCTCATAATTAAAATTAATCGTTTATTTTACTTAAAGATCGTAATTCTGACTACTGTCGCTTCCTGCTGGGCGGGGGGACTGGAATTCGGTGGTCACGGATTAACTCTGGGTGAAGTCTCCTTGGATCACGACGGTGGAAGTATAGGCTGGGACGAATCAGGTCTGACCCGCGTTTAAACGTTATCCATATCTCTTCGTCAACACGCGATAACACTGTGTTTTATTCTGTTGTATGATCAGGATCGGAGCAGGAGATAGAGCATGGGGGCTACGGAGGGCATTTCTCACACGTTATCAAGCACATCGGTACGTACATTCTGTGATAAATAAATCCCGAACGCGTGCTCACAAAATTCAACCGCGACAGGAGTACCAGTGGTGAAGCACGTCCCGTTTCCCGTTCACAAGCTGGAGATCGAAAAGGTGCCGCAGAACTACCAGGTCCCGGTGTTCGTCAAGAAAGAAGTCCCTTACGAGGTTTCCTAATTGAAATTCTATCGCTCCTATCTTAATTTACCTGAAATCGATACACACGGTTTTCTAAACGTTCGCAGGTGGAGAAGCAAGTGTTCACCAAAGTGGAGAAAAAGGTACCGACACCGATCGAGAAAATCATACCCGTGCAAGTCGAGAAGAAGGTTCCGTTTACCGTGGTGAAACACATCCCCGTGCCAGTGGTGAAGCATATACCAATTAAAATTCCAATTTACAAAACGGTGATCCACAGGCACAAGGGTCACTACTAAGCGGTGTCACACGTTAGCTATTTCTGTCCACTTTTTTTTTATGTTATATAATTGTACATGTTGTCGTTATTTATTAATAAATCCGATTGAATCGTTATAAACGCACCGTTTATATTTCATTACAACAAATAATTCTATGGTTGGAAGCCGTACAGCGAACGGGTCCAGAATTTATTTGATAACCGTTTCGTTTACTGGTGCGTCCAGTGATATCGATAAAATCAATCGCACGGATTATCTGTCATATGGAAAAATTGCCGGATTAATAAAAGTCTCGTAGGACGTTGTTACGTTAACGGTGAGTTACGATTATTGATCGGCGTTCCGCAACAATGTGGGGAATGGGAATGGGAAAGGAGAATGTCTCTCATAGGGAAAGTACTCGTAATTCCTTTCTTCTGTCATTGACCTTCGTGAATTCGAGCATTCAGAATCTGTGCAATGAAAAAAAAACGTAAAACTAGAGGAAAGTGAACGTAACTAGAGAACACGGATCTATCGGGTGTCGGTCTGTGATGAAATTAATCACAACTGCATGATTATTCTTCTTATGAGAAGATCTGAATGACCGTGAAAAACGAAAACCAAGTTCGAACGCTTTCACTCGACGTTTTTCCAGTCCCTTTCTCGAGGAACTCTAAGTCGACATTAATAGTAATATTGCGAGTTCGTGATGCGGTAATTGTCGGATCACCACCTGGAAATGCATATGGGATGAGTTGCATTAGCATAGAAGCATAGCTGCACGATAGGGGAAAAAACCGAGGAAGGAAGAGGTGCATCATGCGGAAAGTGTTGAGGCGAAAGTATGGCATAGAGATGATCTATCTACTCTGATCTTGGCAATCAACCAAAGGAGATAACAAGGATATAAAATAACGTAACGATCGCACATAAAAATATATTTAATGAATGAAAATATTTTATAACAATGGTGTGGAGACGATCTATCTTCCTGTATGTCCTCAACTCCTTTCAACTTCGCACATGCACACCAAATACCAGAAATATTTTCTTTGGGTTGCTGCTGATTACCACAAGAGTACATGCAAATTTTAAGTGACTATAATTTTTCAAAAAACCCACGAATTGATTTAAAATTTTACAGATAGCTTTTTAATAGTAACAGGAATCTATAATAACAAATTCAACGTGCTAGCATTGTTTCAGTATATACATCCTTAAGGTTGTATAGCGCGAGGCGATGAAAAACAAGGTGTAAAGAATACAGAGTGTAACTTTCCGAGTTACAGGACGCCACCGGAGAATATCGCGGCAAAAATTGAGCGAGGAACATTAGTAGCACAGTTTACTCACCTCTGGGAAATAACGAAACGTTCCCTGTGAGATATACGTTAACGTCAGCCCGAACTAGTTTTCCATAGAGAAAGAACGACGAAAAATAAGAAAAGAGAAGTCCGTTTCTCGAGAGATCGGCCCATGATCTGAACAATGAAGTATTGATTTATATTTTTAACACTGGCATTCCAGTTTCTCCGAATTTCACAGATGTTTAAGACAGAAGCAGGAAGATCTACTTTCTAGGCAGATCTCGTCTGGTGAGGTTGCCGGGTCGTGTTCCTCACCGAATCGAGAACAAAAGGGGTCGCCGTGAATAGATTTCTCAGCCGAAACACGTTCAGGGGTTATCCTATGGATTCGCCGTCTCCTCTGACACGACGGGCATCGCGTGCCAATAACAAGCTGCTTGAAACAGTATTCGAGGTCGCGCGCGTGATAAATAGGCGAATAAACCGTGGCGTTAAGAATTGTTAATCGATCAGCTTTCGCTTTCAAGATTCGCTATTAATTTAATGGGACGAGTCTAATAAGGCTCTTCCGGGTTCGATGCATATCTTTATATAAATTTCGGACGACGAACATTTGCATAGAGAATAGTGGATCTTCATATATCATATCGTAATTCACTTTCTATCTTCGGATTTTATCCTCAGTTCCCGTTATCGATGCATAATTGCCATAACTGTGGATTTCTTATCTCCTACTAATTAATTATCGAAATATCTCGTATTTTTTATTCCCCATGAAAGCGCACAGTTTAGTAATAATAATTACTTTGTTAAGTGGTAAACGTTAGATTGTATGAAAACTGCCTGTCACTTCGATCCGACGGATTGTGGCGTAAAGAGATATAAATACGCTTCCTGCTCTCACTCAGCTACCTGCTATTCATAATAATGCAGAAATTCACTTTTACGAGAACAAAGATTGGCGTGACCGATCGATTTTTTTTCCGATGAGTCCTTTCACACACAGGTGAACGCCGTTTGGACTTTCATTCGATCGAAAAGTTTGAGAGGCCGGCTCTTCACCTTCACTTCCGGTAAACTTCAGATTTGCTAACAGCCAAACCGCAGATGATGATTACACAAGAAATCGAATCACCGATTCGGATCGGACCCAAGCTTTTTGAGAAGCCTTTTCAACGCGTACAGATGTTCCGTCGAAGAAATCACATTAAAATCTCTGCTTCCGGCTTCCTCTTCTAATCGCGTTTCATCTGCCAATTTAAACATCATTCACTGAATTCAATCCCAAGTTTCTAATTCCAATTCTATTTACATTATGATTAACATACTGCAGTTTCTATGCAGAATAAAACCTGATTTATATTTATTAATAAAATCTAAATTCATAATGTTTCGAACATAATTTTTTCTGTAAATGTATAAGAGTTTAATGAATATTGCGCTGCTTTATTAATCTCGTCTTTGTTGACGAGAAAGTATTTTTCTCAGCAAGTGTCGACGGTTCAGTTAACGAGATCTACTAAAGGGAACGCGTTACGCCAACGTCGAAACACATCCGTGGGTCGGACTTCCTACATCCGCAGATACGTAATCCGCACTTCCGGTAAACCGTGAACGTCGTGTAGTTCGATGAACCGTGTGAAAAATCGTGCAGTATCCTTTCATATTCATTGCGACGCGCGTGTGGAGTTCGCCCGAAGGTTGTCCGACGGTAAACGAACTTCGATATACCCTGGAAAGGGTCTGCGGCCTGGTGCCACAGGAATCAGTGAAAGGTGGTGGAATCGATGTTCGTATATAAGCTGAGTACTGCGCTGCCACTGACATTCAACGCTCGAACCCAGTGCTCAGACAATAAACACCCCCTTGAGAAGATCTGCAAGCATGAATCCGATTGTAAGATTTATGCTAATTACAGTGAATGTCTAATTAGAATTTTAACCAGTCAAATGATCCAAGCAATAAATATTACAAATACTCATTTGCAAACCCGAAGATTATTGACTAATGATTACAGATTACTTTGTTCGGCGTCGCGATAATCGCTGGTATCGTTACCGCCGGTTACTTGGAGGAGGATCATGGACACTCGACCTACGAGGAGAAGCATCACACGGTGGAAATTCCGATTTATAAAAAATATGGTAAATCAGAATGACGCAGTCGATTTGACGGATTTATTAATTTATATTTCGTTGCAGCGATTCCGATTCCTCATCCGGTGCCAGTTGAAGTACCGCAGAAAATAGAGATCCCGATTCCGCAGCCTCAACCGGTGCAGATCGAGATTCCTCACCCGGTGCCTGTGGAGGTCGTTAAGCACATAGAAGTACCTGTGGAAAAGCCCGAGCCCGTCGTCGTCGAGAAGCACGTGAGTGACGCGTATTAAATTGTTAATAAAAAATAGTAACACGAGTCAAAGAAATTGTTTAGAAAATGAAGACGTCGTATATGTAACGTGTAATTGTGCATTCAGGTGCCTTTCGTGGTGGAGAAGCCGTATCCGGTGTACGTCGAGAAGAAGTTCCCGATTCCGGTGGCCAAGCCGTATCCAGTTCATGTGCCAGTGTACAAGCACGTATTCCATTACACTTCAAAGGGCAAGGGGTGGCACTAGGTCGACCTCACCCCGCTGCGCCAGCTCGAACGCACGACACGCGAATCGTCCCAACGGCGGAGCTATCGTTTTACGAGAAAGTTTCTTCTCACACGGAATCTAAACTTATTTAATTCCCCGTTCCGGTTGTCTCGCGACGCTTTCTCGAGGCGGCCGTCAACAACGCGTGATACCCGATCCTAACGACGCGTCGACGTCGACGAGAACGTTACCGACACGTTTGTCACGCCGTTGACACATGTTTGTTTGCATTTTTATACAATTGTTAAGTTTAAGAACCTACGTTTGTTAATAAATCATATTTAAAAAAAAGAAAAACCATCTGACCTTATCTAATCAATAGGAATTTTAGAAATTAGTCAATCGAGTAAGACGACTGATAAACGAGAAACGCGGTTGTACATATAAAAGAGGAAACAGCGTAATCGTTTCCTACAACCCGTGAGCTGCTAGCAACGAGCCAGTCACCATCCCGGCAGAAATCCGGCACGATCTTGATTCGCCATAACGCGAGACGGTAGACGCGTTCTTGCATCTCGCGCAGAAACCACTTTTACTCGAGATACACTTTCACTGTTCCGTTCGCTGATACGGATTAGTATCGCGTACGATTCGAATCTTCTCTCCCACGACCACACCCTGCCCGCACGATGTTCCATATCAAATATCAAACATTCCTTTCGCCGATAACGCGTTTTTAATAATTCTCCACACGAAAGTACATCGGCTACAATTAATTCCACTGGAAATTCGGAAATCCGTAAGCGCATTTACGTGATCCATGCAGGTTTAACAAGTCCAATTACGCGTGATTATAAAATAATTGAATTAGAATATTCGTTTAATTGTTCAGAAATTTAATTTTGTTCAAGATTGTTGCATTCAGTGATTTAATTAGAAATTCAATTACTTAATATCGTAATAACAGTCAGAAGAATGCGTTTCCTTTCGCTGGGTACAACAATTTTCTTTGAATGTGTGTGAAAATCGAAAGTGTTCGTGGGATCTCGCGAATCTCTCAATGCTCCTTTCTGCCGTAATTATTGGCCCTGTAATTATCCTAGGTTGACGAACTGAGCGTTGGACGCTATCCAACTCGTCTGGCGAGTCGGTACAATACGTGGCCATTAAAAAAGCGAGAGGTTCCACGATTTATGAACGGAAGAGGCCAGAATCCGCGAAGTTATATCTGTGTATTCAATCGTAGACACGGCGATCGTACGGGTACACGAGTAGAAAGAGTCAAACGTAATAAAGAGAAGGGAGAAAGTGACTTTGGTATATAAGCACATGGCCGTGACTTTGAAGGCACTAAACAGCTCGTGGTGAATTAACACAGCGGGTTCCGCGCTTACGATTCGCTACAGTGTGATCGGCAACTGCAAACGACAATGAGGATACTCGTAAGTCTCTTCGTAACGTGCATAAAAATTTTCGTAAATTCTTATTGATTTCTTATTGATTTTAGGTGTTCACAGCGTTAGTCGCGTTGGCGTGCGCTTCCTACGAAGAGGAACACGGCGGAGGCTCTACTTACCACGAGACGTCAAAACCCGTAGAGATTCCTATTTATAAGAAATATGCAATACCTATTCCGCACCCGGTCCCGGTGGCGGTTCCCCAGCATATCAAGGTCCCTATTCCGCAACCCTATCAAGTCGAGGTGCCTGTGCCACATCCGGTGCCTGTGGAAGTTGTCAAACATGTCGAAATTCCAGTCGAGAAACCCGAGCCCTATGTCGTAGAGAAGAAGGTAATGCATAAGTACTTGGATCGATTGTAAGAATTGCACTGCGTCTAAATGCAAACGACTAAAAATTCATATTTTTATTGAATTATGAAATTATTGTATTTAAGTTATGAGGGGATATTGAAATGTCAATAGGTGCCGTACGTCGTGGAGAAACCGTACGCGGTAACAGTCGAAAAGCACTTCCCGGTGCCGATTCCGAAACCGTATCCGGTCCACGTACCTGTCTACAAGCACGTGTTCCATCACCAGAGCAAAGGACACGGATGGAAGCATTGATCGAAATACATACGACACGAATAAATTTCAATTATAATACCTGTACATAGCCCGTTGCTGGTTACATTAATGTGATATACGTTGTTACGTTTGTGGAATAAACATGTTGTTTTCGTAACGGCGTCAATTTTCTCCCCCTGGTCGGAACGATTAAAAAGGTTTCGAAAGCCGTCGCTAGTCCGCGGGTTCGTCCAACGCGCGCGCAGCTGTGCGAGTCACTTTTTCTTTGTATCGCAGTATTTCTTAATTGGGTCAGCTAAGCCCGCTCGGATCTCGCCAATCCGGAGACTCCGTCTACTTTTTCCAATCGCCTGGATTAAATAATTACTGCGCAAATTGGAGAAAGCAATTCATTATTATTATGCGTACGTTAGTTTGTATTAACGAAATTTATTGCGATCCGTTTTCCTCCGAGCCGGTTTTATTATTTTTATTACTATAACGCAGATATCGACGACCAACTCGCGGAGTAAGTCATGATCAATCATGTCCTAATTTATTGCCGTCCAACTTGGGCGAGCAACGTTATAAATTAGATAAGACCGCACTAAATATCTCAAGCGGTGCCGTTTTACCTTTTTCCGAATAACTTTAGGCGACACCCGGGGCGACCCTCTCGATGTTCTCGGTCCAGAAACCGGCCAATGACTAGCCGCGGGACTGACGTCGACGACGTAACCGCGGTTCGCCCCAGGTGCAGAATTTATTCAGGAAATACCGGGGCGCAATCGGTTGCATCACGGCAGCCGACCGAAGACCGCTTTTTACGCCGGTTAAGGGAATCGCATTCGACTTCGGTCCAGCCGTACCGTTCAAATCGAGGAAAAGTTTATAAAACCCGCGGCCACGCACGGCACACTCCTAGTTTCACCCAGGACATTAGATCCGACGTTCAATCTTTCATAGGATTCCCAGGTCATCGAAATCATGTTCAGGTTACTGGTAAGTAAAATCGCAGCTGCGATCCTCTGATCGGTGTCTGACTCATTGTAATTATAATTTAGATCCTGTGCCTGATTTGGCTGTCGAGCGTCCGCTCGGAGATGGCCAACATGAACATGAACATGCACATGCATATGCAAATGCCGGCGGACGAGATGGACGATAAGATGTCGATGAAAAGGGAGTCGTACTTCAACCCGTGTCCACCGTCCCACTCGCACTCGATCTCGTACGCGCCGCCGCCACAGATTTACGTGAAACCGATCGAGCCGATGGTCCACGTGCAGAAACCGATGATCACCTACGTGAAGCAGGCCCCGCAGCCGGTCATCGTGAAGCCGATCGCTCAGCCGAAGGTCGTTTACCCGGTCTACCAGAAGCCGATGATATCGTACGCGCCGATATACCAAAAGCCTGTTTACCACCAGCCTATATACCAAAAGCCTGTTTACCCCGAGCCTATGTACCAAAAGCTCATGTACCAGCCGCCCAAAGTGATCCTGAAGAAGGTGGAGGCGCCTCAGATCACCCAGGTCGTTCATAAGCCTCAGATCTCTTATCCGGTCCACCAGCCGAAGGTGGTCCAGGTAGAGGCGCCGCAGGTGAATTACGTGAAGCTTCCGCAACCCATGGTCCACGCCCCGATTTACCAGTCGCAAATAAAACCGTGGTGCGCCTAAGAGGCAATCGGAGACAAATGATGGGATGCAATCGCGTTGGAAGAACGAGACAGCGAAAGGGCGTACGTGGGAAGGAACCAGGACGCCAGGACTGTCGTTGACCAGCCGTGACCGATCGTAGCCAAGCGTAATTCAGCTAAGTTTCACAGATTGTACAATAAAGAAACGAATGATGGAAATATGCTTGTTGTTTGTGCGTACATTCATTCCAAACTGTTGATTTTCGTCGAACTTTTCCCCGGATCCCGTAATCTCGGCCCGGAGTGGTTCTTCAATATCGCCGGGATGAAAGCTCTTAGCGCGACAACGACCGGATTGAAACTCGTTAAAAGCTTAAAGCGGCCCGCGCGCTGTTTGAAAACGCGAAGTTTCGATAGCGAGCTAATTTTCGCAAAACTTTCCCGAACCCTTTTATCCAGCCGGAACAATTCCGGTTTACGGAATTGCTGAACAGCCAGACGTCCTTCTTTCCGCAACACGGGATTACGGATCCACGGCGATCTCCCGTCCTTAGATTGCGTTCTCCTCGGAGGTCTTAATCTGTCGATTCGTGCAAACTCATTTCCTCGCGAAAGTTCCCCCTCGCAGAACGAACTGCGCTATCGTCCCTCTTAAAGTCGCGTTTAACTCGCTTTTCGAACACGGGTATGCATTTTCATTTCTTAACGAACTCCGATTGGTTAAGGACGAAATTATCTCGTTCGTCGCCTTACTCGGAGTTTCCTTTTTCAACCTAAATCACGTGGGAAAGCTGGGAACTTGTACAACGATCGGGCGAGATACGCGCATATTTTCGCCTTTTATCAGTCGGCGCGATTACGTCAGGTTCGATGCCAGCCTCTACGTAAGGGATTAATTACGATCCGGTCAACCGGAGTGCACACCGACCGAATCCTGATTATTTCGCGGAATCGCTGTGTCGTTACACCGATTGCGCAAGAAGCCTCGACGACGAATCGTTTTACGATTTGGTAACCGCTTGCAAAGGGTGCAATTTTTGCATTCGACCGATTTCCCAAACGCGTTATGAATGAATATAAAGCGATTGCCATCAGGGGAAGCGTTTAGTACAACTTCCGAAGATCTTGAAAGAACGTCACTATGAAATATTACGTAAGTGAAATTATTTTCCAAATTTTTTTATAACGCAATCGTGTTTGGTATATATTTTCACGTTCTCCAGTTGTGTATCGTAATTATGATCGTCTCCGTCGCGGCGAGAACACCGAGGCAATCCTACTTTGGTCATTTTCAAAACGCTTATCAAGATGGTCAAGCGAATCATGCTGGTGGGCAATTGTTCGGAGATTTCAGGGCTCAAGGAGGGAACTTAGATCCAGGGAACGAATTTTACGGCCACCAAGCGCCCATCGGTGGTCAGGCTAATTTTAATCACTTGGCAGGAGGTAATGGCAAAAGTGAAAATATATGCGTGTCAGTGTTACAGTTCGATTAGACGAGTTTATTTTCAAACGTTGTATCTTGGCTACTGGTCTTGAGTGGCATAGAAACAAGTGTCGATTTCAAGTTTTACGACCTCGCTATATCCGTTCCGTTCCTCTACGTATATTTAGACAGAAAGGACCCGGTCCCATTCATGTGGTTGCCGTACTTAAGTGCACCCTCCTGTGCACTTATACCTCTGGAAAGAAAAGCGGAGGCTTAGCCCGAAGCTACAGGAAGGCGACATTGACCACATGAATGGGTCTGCCTTTTAAGGGTTCAAGTAATCGGACTGTAACACTTTGACACACTGTATATACGTTAATTATGTGAGCGTATCGTCTTCAGTCCCGTTCGGAGACGGCGTGAACAATGCAGGCTTGAAACGTCAGGAACCCCAGCACTTCTTCAACTACGATTACCAATTATAAGGGTCCAATCGATTCATCAAGATTCAAGGGATACGTTTAACAGATCGAGCTAGCAATCTTTATTTCTCCTTACTCCTTTATATCCAATATATATATACATATATATGTGTATATGTATATATATATATGTATAATATATAGGTTAATATAATAATTTTTTTTTGTAAATAACATCATTAGATTGAAAACAACGACGTGACAATTAATGCTAGGCTCTCCATTCGTCCGGTAATTCATTTCTCTTTTATGTACAACGTTTTGGCTCGCGGCGTCACGACTTTGGACCATTCGTACGAGGAGTACTCTTTCAAGGTGAATAAAAAACAAAGGAAATGCGAACGTATCCTCGAAACGAGTACCTGCTCGATCGTGAAGAGGCGCTATAATAAATCTAACTGCGGCCAACGGCGCCGTCGTCGCCGGTACACCGTCCATAAAAAGCATAAGTAGTTGTAGTAGTAGTAGTAGTAGTCGGAGTATAGAATATACAGCGAAATGTGCCCATCACACAATTCCTCTAGGCATTAGGCGATGAAACAGACACACGCATCCGATCACATTTCCCACGCACGCGATAGAATTCGGTAATAGCGTTTAACAATCGAAAAATATTGAAACCGTCGAATCCCGCGGCGCAGAGATCCGCTTCTCATTTATATTTTCGTATATATATATATATTTATGTATGTATGTATATATATGCACGTATAATAAATATATAATATGTACTTATTGATGTAAGAACTTGACTAGATCACTTTAGTTTTTTTTTTTATTGACTCCCTCGTTTAGTCTAGGTACTTGCTCGTGCAACGACGGACACAGTTTATACGGAGTTACAAGATGTTTCGTTTTATATAAAAAAATATTCAGGAGAGTGAATTAGAATACGTTTAATCGCGGCTTGTTTGTTGCTTCCGTTTCTCAGGGCAGCTGAGAACGATGCTTGATCCCAATTCCAGTTGTGTATTAACGATAGGAGCGGATTACTCTGAATGCAGCACCTTAGCTTCCCGGCTACTCGTAACGGCGATCACACGTAGCATTCGGTCTTAGGGCCCAACTCGTACTCGATCTCCTCGTTGTTGAATATATCTACAATCTGAAAACATCGACAGCTCGTTTCGAGGTTCAGTCATAAAATCATTATTAATTAATAAACAATTATTTCTATTACCGCGTTCATGTCTTTTTGCAATTCCTCCAGCTGCTTCTCGTGGATCACCTTCAGCTTCTCCTTTTCCCTGTTCTGAATCATCTGCGCGATCCTCCTCTCTTCCATAAACTTCTTCGTATTGTTCTGCTGTTTCTCCCTCAGCCTACCCTCCTTAATTCCTCGAGTCTTCAGCGTCTTATCATTCATCACCTCCCTCATGCTCTCCACCGACAACCTCGCCTGTCTCGCGTTCATCTCTTTGATCTCCCGCTCGTGCCGAGCCGCCAGCTGCTTCTGCTGAGCGACCTGCGCGGCCACGCATAATTTCCTCAACGTGTTCCTCCTCTCGTCCAGATGGGAACGCACCAGGTCGCGTTCCTCTCGTCGTTGTTTATCGGCCAGACGAGACCATTGGACAGTCTGCTCGGAAACTTCACGGCGTACGATAGGATCCCTCGACAGTTCAGTTTTGCTAATGAAACAAATATAAGAATTAATTTTAGTTTGACATTAACTACGGATCACAGCTTCCACATGTGTCTAAAGTGTGAAGAAAAGAGAGAGAGAAATATAATTAACAGGCATGTTATACTTTTCTCAATTCCTTTTTCCTTCAACTTGCTTTGAATTTTATTAATGTATTTTAATTCGTCATACTTTTTTCCCTTGATGATTTTCTCTATCGCAGTGCAGTGCTGTTTCTGGACGGCAAGTTTCTCCTTCTGCTGCCTCTTCTTCAGATTTTCCAATTCCTTCTGTTGCTTCCTGAGCACTTTCTGGTAGCCCTTCTCTTGTCGCAACGATTCCGCCGTTATAGGGTTGAATTTCATTTCCTCTGGAAGGGGAAACGTTTGATAGAAGTTCGAAGAGAAATATGCAAAGTGGAAATTTACCGCGTGGTTTAGGCGCTTCGCGATGAGCGGGCGCAGAGTCTGGGTGTCTCTTGCTGTCGCTCTCTTCTATCCCGAGTCCACGCATTTTATTCTGCGACGTGTTCTCTGGTTTCTTGTAGGCCCGTGGCGCCGTCAGCGCATCCATTAGTCCTGCGGATTAAAAAAACCGTTTCAATATTATAAATAATAGTTTATTATAAATTATCTTACCTTCGTAACCATCCGGTACGTAAATCTTGATCTCGATGTTGCAAAACAGCATAGGCAAGGACATAGGGAAGTTCGCCTCCGTACGCAAAGATATATGCCTGTACCCCGATTGCAGACCGTCCAAAGGTACGATCCTTTGACCCAACAGTTTGCCGTTGGACTCGTCGTAAACCGCGAATCTCAAAGCTGCTAAATCAGGGAGGACGACTTTACGGAAGAGGAAGGGCTCCTCGTTATAAACAGGATTCAGGCCGTTCGCGGGAACTACTCGCGTCCGGAACTCCTTCCGAATCGTATCAGTAGGCAAACCGTACATCTCAACCTCCACGTACGTTCCCACCTTCTTATCAGACAGAAATTGACCCGCGATCACCTACGAATCAAATCAATATACATTTTATAACTTAATGGAATGTTAATAATTAATGATTGAACGAAATAATTGATATACCTGAACGCTGCACTGAGTGGCGATCACACCGTCCACCGGGCTTTCCGCGAACGGGTCGAAGCTCCGATCTGCTCGCCTCATGAAGTCCGGTTTCAGGAGATACCCCGACGAGCCGTTGTACTCGAACTTGCCCTGGTTCAGTTGCATCGGCAAGTCTGCAGTTTGGAAGTTCAACGACACCATCTGGCATCCGGCGTTCCAAAAGACCTGTTCCCAATCGATCGTCGATGCGGTAATACGTAAATACTATCTATGTACGCCGTGTCTACGTGCACATTGGAAATCATTACCTGCGGCATATAATTCGAGGAGTCCGCTCGGGTGCCTTTCGGATAAATCCGGCTCATTTGACGCTTGTTATAATTGACGAACTCAATCGCTTGCGTCTTTAGGTAATTCAGGCCAGCGGTTTCCGCGAAGGAAGACATATTGTGATGAATATTCTTTTCTGTATAAGAGGGCACGATCATCAATTTTTTCTCTCGTTTAAACGCGTTACCGAGAGAATGCGTCGCCTTACGTTCGGCAATATCGAAGCCCGGGAACTTAATAGGCTGGGCATAGTTCACCATGGAGGACAACCATGGATGGACGTTTGTCGTGCTCCCGGTATACGGCTGAGCCGCAGCCAGTTCCAACGTGTCTGTGGTCGTGCTCGATTGCTGCTGGATGCTAGTAGTCGACGCTACAGACTCAGCCACCGACACTTCTTCCTAAAAAAAAAAAAAAAAAAAAAAATATTATTAATATCCTCGAATTCGTGAAACAATCGTGGAAAGAGATGGGAAGATCATGCTGGCGCTTGTATCAAGTGTTACCTTTACCGATTGCTGTTCCACGACCGCAGCCACAGTCGGCGGTGCGCTCGCGTCCTCCTTAATTTCATCCTCGATCACGAACTGACCTTGCCTAAACAGCTCCAATTCGTGTTTCTCAACTTCCGGCTTCAATCGTTTATTCTTGATGAGAATTTTCCGTTTCAGTAGACTCGGCGGCGGTAGAGGCACACCTGGTTCCAGCTGTTTATCATAAAATCCATTTTCACGATTTATCGTATCACTCAAGGAAAGAGGCCTAATCTAATCGCTAGGCTTCCGACGGAGATAAATTTCGATAGTAGCGAATATTTGTTTCCGTATTGATAAAAACGTAGATTTACTTACTGGATAATCTCTGAGAGGTTCTTTTAACAACAAGTCGCCTAGTATCTCGTCGCAATATTTGGCCAATTTGTATTGCTGCTTCTTGCTGCAGTGATTCTCGAAGCTGAGAATCACCGGGTACTCGGTCGTGACAAACGCCGTGTCTCTGACCGCGTAAATCACGTCTCTAAAAAGAATGTCCGTGCACATCGCCTTGCCATGAGTGATTATCGGCTCCTCGTCCTCCCCTTTACCGTCCCAGCAATCCAACTCGACGCATCTTTCGGAAACATTGCAATATCTTATTCACACTCTATTTTAAGGATGTATTGGCTATATAGTTAATCCCAAAAGCTTATGTATCTTAGAAAAATGCATCTCCTCTAATTAAAAAGATATCAGACGTCGGAAGAATAATGCTAATAATAAATAAATAGCTACGTGCTAAAAAGTATAGAAGGAAATATCCAATTAAGTATGGACGCTAGCAAATAATTTTTACACAGAAATTGTAGCTCTCGTCGTCCCCTACAGAATGGTTCTAAATACGAACCCCTACGTCCATCCGTTCGGGAGTTATTGAGGAAAAACGAAAAGTCTTTTTAAAAGTTCGCTAATTCTTCGGGCGAATT